TTTTTTGTTTCTCGTCCACCACGTGAAGGATTATGTTTGGAATCATACTCAACTCGCCGATCCTTATGAGGACCAACTCGCACCTCCTCAATCTCCATCCGTTACTCCCTTTACAGTGTTTTGAAGTCTATGGAACCTTCCGTCGCACAAAGGCTGGTCGTGCACCAGGTCGTGACAATCATGGGAACGCTTCTCCTCCTCCGTCACCCGCTCAAAAGAATACCCTTCCCTCATTACTCATTACAATGATTGTTTCTTCCTGGGCATTTGCCCCCAACCAGTGGAAATCCAACAAAATCATTATGACCCATGTCGCTCTTCCAGTTATCGCCCCATTTCACTGGCCAACTCCATTTAGAAAATTTACGCCTGCATGATACACCAGAAATTTTGCCATTCCATCGATCCTTCCCCCAACCTCAACTTCAAGGCTTCCGCCAAAACCGTTACCTTTCTACTAGTAACTGTTAGTATTTTTTCTGCGCCGTGTTATGGCAATTTTTGAAATCGGTTTCAGTGTATATTCCCTTCTTGGATAATGCGCATGGTCGAGTCGTGCCGCGACGTGTTGAACAAAAAATTGATGATATCCCAAAAAACTGACACGGATGAACTAACAGAAACAGTCCGAATCATGACGGCAACCCAGAATTGCTCATTTTCTTGCTGGTACGTCGTTGTGGCGCGAAGCACATTTCCAAGTCAAAATGTACAAAACACACCATGCTCGGAGCATTTTTGAAGTTGAGATGTTGCGAAAGTGTACGCCGTTGTGGCGCGAAGCACATTTCCAAGTCAAAATGTACAAAGCACACCGTTCTCGGACCACTTTTGGAAGTTGAGATGTCGAAAACGTGCACGCCGTTGTGGCGCGAAGCACGTTTCCAAGTCAAAATGTTTAAAACACCACATGTTCGGACCACTTTTGGACGTTCAGATGTCGTTTCGCGTGGCCGGCGCAAGGGATTGTGCATCTGGTCAAAAGTGTTTCTACAAACGATGGCAGGCGTGGGGCATGTGAAGAGGATCTGGAAAGATGCATTTTCCCTGGCAGGCGCAGTAATCCCTTCTCCCTAATACTAAACGCCCCCCCTAATAATAAACACTGCAAGTAGGTTTTAGTATTAGAGGGGTATTTATTATTAGGGAACCAAATCGAAGTCATGTTATTCATGCATTATAATGGAGGAAGGGATTAAAATCAATAAAAAATATCTTTATAATTATATAACACAATTAAAAAATTACCAAAAATGGGATTTCGAAGCTTCCCCCTGATACTAAATTAAAACCCTTAATGCTAAAAACTATTTTTTCCGATCCCAAAATAAATTAAATTTCTTTATACAACGCAATTAAAATATTGCCAAAAATGGGATTTCGAAGGTTCCCCCCCAATATTAAATTAAAACCCTTAATAATAAAAACTATTTTTGCTGATCTCAAAATCAATGAATTTTCTTAATATAACGCCATTCAAATATTGTCAAAAATGGGATTGCGAAGCTTCCCCCTAATACTAAATTAAAACCCTTAATGCTAAAAACTATTTTTTCCGATCTCAAAATAAATTAAATTTCTTTATATAACGCAATTAAAATATTGCCAAAAATGGGATTTCGAAGCTTTCCCCTAATACTAAATTAAAACCCTTAATGATAAAAACTATTTTTTCCGATCTCAAAATCAATTTAGATTTCTTTATATAACGCAATTAAAATATTGCCAAAAATGGGATTTCGAAGCTTTCCCCCTAATACTAAACACCCCGGGGTTGACTAGTTTTTAGTATTAAGGGGGGAAACCCACAAATGGCACGTTGATTTTTAAATTGTTTTCTAAAGGGGATCAATTAAAAATCAAATTGGCCAATCTGAAATTTTCAAAACTTGGAGATGGACACTAGTTTTAGTATTAGGAGGGGGTTTAGTAATAGGAAGAAGGGATTACAACAGACATGTTTATATTCATTAGAGATGTTAGGAGGCCAGGGCCCTGATTTCCTGAGAGGGGTTGCATTTTGGAGCATCAGATCTTCAGGTTTGCTAAGATGATTTTGACAGGTGCAGCATTTCGTATGACCTGGCATCACTTTTTCGTGGCAAGTGCAACACTTCAGAGACATGGACTGGAAAAAATGCAAAACGCATTTGGTACGAGGGCGTCAGCTCTGCACTCAACGTTCTATTATTGAAGGAAGTCTCGCAGAATTGCTTCGTTTTTGATGTTGCCAGCTTCAAACATTGAGGAAGTCTGGCAAAATTGTTTCGTTTTTGACGTTGCCAAGTTCAAAATTGAGGAAGCCTGGCAAAATTTCTGCGTTTTTGATGTTGTCAAAATCAAAAACTGAGGGAGTCTCGCAGAATGGCTTCGTTAGCTGCAGATAGACAGATAGATAACTACAACCACAACTACAACTACCATTGCACTACACTACATTACACTACACTACACTACATTACACTACACTACACTAATTACACTACATTACGGCTACAACTCCGCTACACAGCACTACAACTACAACTACAACTGCGCTACACCGCACTACACCCAGCAGTTGTGGTGAGGTGACCACTGCAACCATTGCAGCCACTCCAAAAACACAACTCCAACCATCTTTCGGTCCATCAGTGGATTCGCTCTGCCACTGTGATTCGCAACAGCCAACCTCTCATAGGTTTCCTATTTTTGAAACTTCCGCCTCGGCCTTGTGCGGTACTACTGGTATTCATTCACTCAAATTGATTCACTCATATTGACTCATTTCATTCATTCATTCATTCATTCGTTCGTTCATTCATTCATTCATTCATTCATTCATTCATTATCATTCATTCATACATTCATTCATTCACTCATTCATTCACTCATTCATTCACTCATTCATTCATTCATTCATTCACTCATTCATTCCATTTCATTTCATTCCATTCCATTTCATTTTCATTTCATTTCATTTGCATTTCATTTCATTTTCATTTTCATTTTCATTTTCATTTCATTTTCATTTTCATTTCATTTTCATTTCATTTTCATTTCATTTCATTTTCATTTCGTTTCGCTTCGTTAGGTTTCGTTTCATTTCATGTCCTTTCATTTAATTTAATTTCATTTCATTTCCATTTCATTTTCATTTCATTTTCATTTCATTTCATTTCAATTCATTTCAATTCATTTCAATTCAATTCAATCCAATTCAATTCAATTCATTTCATTTCATTTTTTCCATTTCTTTTTATTTCATTTCATTGTCATTTTCATTTCATTTCATTTCATTTTCATTTCATTTCGTTTTCATAGCATTTCATTTCATTTCATTTCATTCATTCATTCATGCATGCTGCATGCATGCATGCATGCATTCCTTCCTTCCTTCCTTCCTTCCTGCCTTCCTTCCTGCCTCCCTCCCTGCCTCCCCCCCTCCCTCCCTCCATTCATTCATTCATTCATTCATTCATTCATCCATCCATCCATCCATCCATCCATCCATCCATGTATCCTCTTTTCAATCATGCTCCCATTGTTCATCTTTCATTCTTTCCAGAAGTGTTGACGATGCGCCCTTGGAGACCGCCTTGATGGGGAAAACAAAACAAGGGAAGCAGAAAGCAGAACCAAAGCAAAGGCAAGGACAGAAACACGAACGACAGCTAAGCAAAGACAGTTCTTGTCAGGAGGGCAAGAGGAAGAAGGCGATGGCAAGAGCAAAATTTCATGGTTGAATGGCAACGGCAAAAGTCAAGGGCAACAGTTTCAGTCTGAAGCGACATGCTTCTGATGCAATGGATGAGGGCACTATGCCAGGGATTGCGTTAGCGATCGGTGAAAATGGTTGGAAAAGTTGGAGTCCCAGCAACCAAGGCGCTTTAAGTAGGACAAAGGCCGCCGCCCCTGCAAGCCCACAAGATGCAGTTTTTTCCCCTTCCGGAAAGCGAACGTCAGGACAACATCCTCTCATGCTCAGCAAAGCAACCAGGCGTTGCAGGAAAGAACGTTTTTTTTGAGCAGACGTGAGCAGGCAAGTCGTGGACGAAGAAACGGCGTTGCCGTTTTGTATCCCAAGTTTGTTGGAAGTATATACTCAAGCATCGATCGTCAGGATATGAAGTTTTGACTTGTGCCGTTTATTTTTGTTTTTCTTCTAGTTGCCGATGACTGGAACCTACCAGCCAAACAAACACCTTGTGTTGTTCGTGTTTTTTTTGTTCTTGGTCTTATTGCACGGGGCAAGGTGCAGTTCCTCTTCCCTCGTAACCAGTAAAACAAGAACTTTGTTTTTTTCGCTGTTGTTGGTGTAGCTGTTTGTTGCTGATGCTGAGGGGCAAACCGGAGGGCCCAGCCAACACAATTAATTTTTTCACACCATAAACATCCAGAAGAACAGCAGCAGCAACAGTAACAACAACAACAACAACAACAAGAACAAAAGTACAACAAAAACAAGAAAAAAACAACAAAACATAGTAACTAAGTACCGACTGCGACAATAGCAACAATAGCAACATTGGCAACAATGGCAACAATAACAACAATAGCAACAATAGCAGCAGCAGCAGCAGCAACAACAACAACAACAACAGCAGCAAAAGCAGCAACAGTGTGCGAAAGGTTTTGGTGAACACACTAAAAACGTTTACTTTGATATTTGACAACCTTGTTTTGTCGTTTTCGTTCTCTCGGGGCCCAGGGGGTGTATTTCTCGGTGTGATCTTCCAACTATTGGATTGACTCATTTTTCGCTCAGAGGTTCGTGTTGCAGTTGGCCTTTTTGCCTGCTACCGGGACCGATATTGTGGTGCATGTGTTGGCCCAAATGAAAAAGGACATTTGAGTGGCAAAAAGTTGTATACATCTTGTGTTTGTTGCGGACGCTGAGATGGCAAGCGAAAAAAGAATTGATGACATCTTGTGCTGCTCAAATGCAAATGGAGGTCGGTGATGAGTCTTTTCTTTGAATTGTGGCATCTGCAGTTTGTGTTTTCTGCTTCCAAGGCAAGATGGAAAGCACATCAGCGAAAGTGGAACTCTACAAAACGAGCAAGGTTAAACTTCCGATGGCCGAACTGGATTATTTGAAGCAACTTTGCATACACTTAGTTGTGGTCAGGGTTTGGTAAGTGGAAAGGTGGATTGGTCATTGTTGGCTGTAGTTTTCGTGCGTTTCCTCTTGCCTTTCCCATTGCAGGCGGAGCATGCATTTGCTGTAGGCCAAAGGTGGTGAGGTAGGTCGTGCCGTTGTATGCAACATATTGTTGGTAATTGCAGGGAAGGTAAGGTTTGCAGGGTTGTAGTTGTAGATGATTTATGTGATACATATTTCATGTGGTAAAATGCATGGCGAACATTATAGAATCATATTGATCAAGGTGCAAAAAGCTCTGACTGCATCCTGTTTTTTTTCTCAAGCGCGTATGGGGCTCCAGCAGCTCTTTCAAGGGTTCCTCCGGGCTTTTTGACCGGTTTCTGGGGTCTTCAGTGTCCCATCCACTCCTCGGGCTCTCCTGGCTTCTCTTTCTCCTGATTGGATTCATCCGGGTTTTCTCACCTGCTTCTTCCTTTGCCTGTGGATTTTCTTCTCTGTGCCATCGAACCAATCGTCACCAGTTGCCGGGGCACCAGCCCAACTTGCGGTCTTCCGGGCCAGACAACGGCTTGCAGGGCATAGGCCCTTGCATGAGTGATAACCCTCTTGACCAGGTTTCAGATTTGGTTCGAGCCTTGAATACGCTCTCGCTTGCACTTGAAAATAACCCGCAGCAAAGAGCACCAGCTGCAGCGTCCGCTGCCCCAGCTGGATCGTCACCAGCCAGGGAAGATAGCTTTGAACTTATCACTGAGGAACCTTCGCCCTCTCAGGTCCAAGGTATCAGGACTCAGCCAGTGCAGATTGCCTACAACAACAACTCCTTTGCGGAGACAATTCCTCCTGTGCCTCATTGGATTCTTCGTGATTGCCAGTCGTTGGTTGCCGGAGAGCTTGGGAAGCAGGCTTTTGAACAACCCCCACTTTGCAAGGCAGAGTCAGGACACCTCGAGCATCTCCGAGCCTTCCACTTCGTCCAAAGGTCTACGTCATCCTTCGAGCACCTGGATTGGAAGCACCAACAAGAGTGTCAAACGCTTCGGATTTTTACAGGATCACAGGACGCCTGGAAGGAAGCAACGTGGTGTGCCACTCTTTCCCATCATTGTCTGAAGCCAAGGCCTATTGTGAAGGAGCCGGATTCCGCCTCCCTTCACAACATCAATGGCGCTGATCCCAAGAAGGTCCCTGGCCGATCTGCAGACGATCAGGACCACTCTATCTACATGCAGGCGGCTATAGTGTTGTTCAGAGAGGGGGAAGCGCTTCTTGCACTCCCGGGCCTGGCTATCTCCGACGAGGTCTTGGACTCCTATGCAGCTATGATCGACCCTGCATGGTCAGGAGGCATTGGTAGGCCCATACTGCCGAGTAGTTTGCCGACTGATGGACCTCGATCAGGATTTGGAGCTGGATACTCAAGCGGAGGTCCTCCTAGTGGACATGGATTGGGCTCAGACCGAGATCCTGTTGATGGACTTTCAGCCAGCTCAAGAAGCACACCAGGGAGCCGTTCCCTTCGAAGAAGGACTGCATCATGCCATCCCGATACCCTCTCAAGTGCTGGGTCTGGCCCGAGATTGGATTGCAGCTCAAGAAGAACAGGAGAGGCTGGACTACCACACGGCCCAACAAAAAGCGGTACCTGTCACCCCTGGAGGTATCCCGCAACTTGGCACTTCGCCCAAAGGCAAGCCGCCAGGGCCAAAAAGAGCTGCTCCCAAGAGAGCATCACTGCAGAATCAGGTCGAGACCTTGTTGGGGGCTTTGCCAACCCTGACTCTACAGTTGGATCGCGTCAGGAAGCCTTCGAACAGAACATGGCGGGTGCTCAGCCCTCAGTCCCTAGAAGGCCTCCATCAACCGGCAGTGTCAAGCGTCATTGCTCCCAAGCTTTGCTTCTCAGATAGGTCCACCTCCTAAGACAAAGGGCTTCGAGACTTCGCCAACAGCACACCTCCGAGCTTTGCAAGAGGACGAGCCGATAGATCTCAAGGCGGAGGTGGATGGCCGTCCATTGGAAGTGGATCCCACTCAACATCCCTATGCAGAGGCACTACTTCAGCAGAGCAGGGCCTTGGTCTCTTTGGTCTCTCACCTCAGCTCGGCCTCATCGGATCCCATGCGGAGTTGACAGGCAGTTCCTCCGGACTGGGTGAAAGGTGCAGCCGGGCGAGAGAGATTGCAACGGGAGCTTGCCCAGCAGAACGGCTAGTTCTTTTTGAAGGTGTGCCAAGCAATTCACCGCAGACAGAGTCCTACGACAGCTCCTCCAGACAGCCTAGAGAATGTGGGCAACACAAGCCTTATGACCTACTTGGAACGGTATGGAGGCTTTGGTGCACACCGAGAACTGGGTCTGGTGATCTGGAGCGTAGCTCGTATTTTCGAGGCAGCGCAGGACAATAACATGGGTGCAGTGAGGGATCATACGGCACTACTTGCCGTGATGCTGGAACAAACCAACATGGACGGCAATCAGTGGGGAGTTGCATGGATGCTGGGCCCGAAAATCCTCCTCATTCTCTATAAATAAACCACGGAGCTTCTGCAACGGGAGGTCGCAGAGCCTTCGCTCCACTTTGCTCCCAACAATGGGCCACCACAGCCCTAGCTGTGCTGACGGAGCAGGAAGTGTTGGCGACAAAGAGGTCCGAAGCTGCCCAACCGAAGCCAAAGTCAAGCAGCGAGCAAAACCCAGACCAGAGGCCAAAACCAAGGCCAAAGCCAAAGCGGCGGGGGAACAATCCAGATCCACCTGCCAGCTCAGACACAACCTAGCGCGCGCCAATCAGGAGCCAACAGCAAAAGCCTCGACAGCTGATTCTCCTGTCGTCCCGAACCAAGCCTGGGCGGTTTGAACACTCAGGTCCTAAATTCAACAGCAAGACACACAGCCTGAAGCTTTTGAGTCTTGCGATGCGCAGCCTGGTGTTTCCAGGCCAAGTTCCTCTTCAACTTCGGCACCTTTCTCCAGCTCTGATACCAAGTGGACTTCTGACATTTCTTCATTCAGTTTTTCTTTCACAGATTGGTGTATGAGCCTTTGCCGAAAAGCTTTGAAATGCAGAAGCCCTTTTAGTAGGTTTCTTGCCAGCACCCTGGTTCTCCTGACGTGATAGGCCCAAAGCCCCTTCCACCGCACTGTTCCCGTTGCCTTTGCCGAGTAGCTTTCGTTCCCAAGCTTTGATGAGGGCCATGCATGTTGTAGTGTGTGCATTAAATTATACATACTGCTCCCGTGGTACACCTCCCTTGGATTTGCTCCGGAGGCAGCCAAATGAGATTCAGCTCCGTGCTTTTCAGCACCTTGAACTGCTTTTGAGTGCGTGTGACCCTGGACTCCCAGTTGAGGTAGCTTCATCGGGTCGAAAGAATTTGCAGTTGCTTGCCAGGCTACAAGAGTCGACAGCTGCTGCAGATGCACTTGGTTTCAGAGAAAGCCCATACCACCAGCATGCTTCAGGGCATCAAGTAAAGGTTGACAATTCTGGCGACCCCAAGCTTTCTCCTTTCTCAGAGGGCAGACTTGAGAGGCTCAAGATCTCAGGCACCGGTCACTGGAAGGCAGAAGAGCATATTTCACCTGAGTTTTACATGCCTTTTCTTGAGCCCAAGATTTTAGAATGCGATGTTCCAGTTTATGATCGAGGCGTTCCAGACACAGCTCGTGAAAAACCTCGGCCATTTTCGATCTCCTGATCAAATGGGATTCTTTGGATTTGCTGAAGCTTCATCCGGCTTCACAAGTTGGACTTTCTCCTGACCGGAAGGTTCAAATTTTTGGAGCATTTAAAGATAGCCTGTATGACCGACAGATAGGAGATGGCCGCCGGCAGAACGGATACGAGTCAAGGATCCCAGGCCCCAGTAAGGATCTTCCAACTGCAGCTTTGTTGACTAGGCTTCAGGTTGCTCCCAAGCACGGGGTCAAGATCTGCATCACCGACCGAGCTGATTTTTACCACCAAATCGGAGTCTCCGATGAACGAAGCCAAACGAACTGCGTATGGCCAGCCTTCTGCCTTGGAGATTTCGAGGGCACAAAGGCCCATGCTGCGCTTCTTGCAAAGGCGTTGAAGAAACCTCGCAAGCTTGATCGAGCTGTCTTCGGAGATGCGCTGAATGGTGTCTCCCAGGAAGATCGATGCAGATACGCTTGTGTTGGAGCTTTCGGAGCAATCCTGCAGGGAGACCAGCTTGGAGTTGAAATTGGGATAGACTCACATGCAGGAGTTCTCAAAAGCCATGGGCTTCTTGGTTCTGATGAAAACCTTGTCAGTTCTCGCCTTGTCCGACCCTCAGATGTTCACCAAGGGCTAGTGATTGATGACTATTTTGCCATCGCCCAAATTCCTGTAGGTCAGCTCAAGACTCAAGGTGATGCCAGCTTCCGTAGGAGCAAGGCCCATGAAGCCTTCCGTAGAGCTAAGGACGCATATGCTTCAGAGAGCTTGAAGGGCTCAGACTTGAAGGATATCATAGAGCAAACCAAGGCCACTGTCATTGGGGCTGAAATTGACTCATTGGTTTCAGCCTTTTGCTTCCGTAGGTGTGCCATGTGTTTGCTTTCGAGGGTTTTTCGACCGAACATCCAGTGCTTTGGCCTCTGAGTAGGGCTACAGCTGATGAGTTTGTGCTTTCTGCCATTTTGTTGCCAGTCCTTGCATCAAACATCCAAGCTCCAGTTCTCCAGAGTGTTTTTGCCAGCGATACCTCGAACCACAAAGGGGCATTTTGTCAAGCCCCCCTGCCGGAACCAGTTGCTACTCTTGTGTGGCAGTCTGGTGATTTCAAAGGGGGATATCTCGAGCCATTTCCCCTCAGTTCATCCGTTCTCATGATGGGCTTGATGAATCAGAGCTCGCAGAGGCCCTATTTGCCTGGACTTGAGGCACCTCCTGACATAGCACCCAGCCGCACACTTGCCCACTTGCCCAGTGTTTTGACTTTATTGAGATTTGTGGCGGCTCTGGTGTCTCGAGCGATGAAATGAATAGGCGTGGTTTTTGTGTAGGTCCAATAATCGACATTACATATTCCCAGCAGTTTGATTAGCTTAAGACAAATGTGCTTGGATGGCTGATCTTCTTGATTCAGCATGGGCGCCTCCGATCTTTTGCCGTGGGACCGCCATGCACATCATTTTCGCCTGCTGCACACCCGTGTGTGCGATCGTGCAGCCAACGTAGAGGGTTCTGCCAGCAAGATCGTAAGACTTGGGTAGGTAATCGATTGGCTTTCGCTGCTCTTTGCCTCTTGCTTGTAGCAGCAACTACAAACACTTTGGCCCTTGGAGAACAACCTAGAAGAGGCAAGATGGCTTGGCTTCCAGGGTGGCAATTTCTGCTTATGTTGCGGAACATCATTGAGACCTACACGGCATCATGCTCCTTTGGTTCCCTTTTCCAAAAAGAGTTTCGCTTCCTGCCCTGCAACGTGGTCCCTCAGGGCATTTGCCGCCCATGTACAAGAGACCACAAGCATGTGAAGATAGTAGGGGCTCTTACCAAAGGATCAGCTGTTTATTGCCCTAGACTTGTGCGTGGCTTGGGTGAGATGTTCGAGCGTCACCTCAACCATGGTCAGAAACTTGAGAAGGCGTTTGATTTAAAAACTGAAGGGCTTGAGTCACCTTTAGTAAATGACATCGCAAAGAATGCTGAGTGGGCCGTTGGTGCTGCATGGCCATGGTCAGGGATTAGATATGCATATCAATATTTTTGAGCTAGCTTCCACCCTTCAGGTTGTCAAGAGGATTGCACGACGAGGTGGAGGTCGTTTCCCAGTTTTGGTTGTTTCTTTTGTGGCCTTGAGAGCATTAGCCAAAGGAAGAACAGCTTCGAAGGCACTGGCGCCGCTTCTAAGAAAGATCATGGCCTTGTCCGTTGCCTTTGACTGTTACGGTGTCGGTTTGTTCTGTCCTACCCGTTTGAATCCTTCTGATGATCCAACACGATCTGTTCCTCTTAGAACTCCATGCAGTGACAAGCCAGCTTTCCAAACCTTGCCAATCTCAGAGCTCTATGGACTTTCCGGGCTTCCCAAAACCAAGCGATGGGCCGCAAATTGGGTCGCCCTTGTGATAGGTTTGTCCTGCCGTGGTTTTCTTTCAATCCCAGGTACCTCCCCTGATGAATGGAGGATGCGTTCCAGCCAGCTTCCCGTTGGATTTCATGAATTTCATGAATTTTCTGACTTTGGGCTATCCTGGGGAGGGCCCGGGCAGTGGTTTTCTCCTCTTCTTTTGGATTTTCTTCCTTGGCTTAGTTGTAGTTAGGTCTCCTGTGCCAAGCCATGGTCTTTTGCCGCGGAACGCTGAAGACGTCAAGCGAGCTGAACGGCGGGGAAGTATCATGCTTGATCTTGGAAGACCGGTTCAACAACTGACGAAGAACAACCGTGAGCGACTTCTGGGTCTTTTCAGTGGCTGGTGTACCTCAAGGGGAATAGACTTTGACGGTCTGCTCCGGGATGCGCCGAGGACCCCAGAGGTCGTTGCCAAAACTTATCAGAGTATGGCCAAGCGCTTTTTTCTGCAGGGAGGCCTGACAGTCACTACAGCGAGACCATCAACGCCAGGGAAGAGCCATATGAGCATCACCTTGCTTGCCCAGCAGTTGTGCTGCTAGGAATGGTTGCTACGGCATTGACCTGGAACTGGCCGTTGGTTGCAGGTGTCATTGCAATTTCCTGGTCTGCAATAACACGGATAGGAGAGGTACTGACGGCATTGCGTCGAGACCTTGTGCTACCATGTTAGGGATGGATTACACTGACATGGTATGCTTGATTGCCGAGATCTTCAAGCGGTTGCAGCCTCACCAACGGCTCTGGCCATTTTCAGGTCAGACTTTGCGTGACAGCGAGCTTGTAAGAAGGAGAGGCCGATGGTTAGCAAGCAGGACGATGGAAATTTACCTGCAGGAGTCTGCTGCTGTCACTTTCTTTTCGAGCCAGTCACCAGACACCAAAGCTCGAATCCTTCAAGCTGCTCAGAGTTTTCCAGAGGTGTCCGCCAGGGCTAGAGCTTTTCTGCGATGGTCCATTCCCAGTGAATCATGGTGGCATCTGCTTACAGATCGACAGACGGGTGAAATTGGTGTGGATGAAAAGTTCCAGTCTGGATAACGCCAAATGGGCCAACCAGACAGTGTACAAGATGCAAACCGAAGAGGAACCAGAAAAGAACAGCGCGCTTGAAGAGCTAATCAAATTGCCAAAGGACATTTAGTTCGTAAACTTCTGAGTTTCGGACAAATGTCCAAAGTCAGTTTTCACACACCCAAATCATGTCAAGTAGTTGTGAGGTGAAACGGTGGGTCACACGAACGATCGCGAGTGAAGGAATCTAAGTGCGCGAATTGTCGTATTTTTACAGGTATGGTGGCTCCAGGGGTCGCCAAGGGAGGGTCTTTGTCTCCGCGGTTGCGGGCCTTGATTTGGAAGCGCAAGCTCGGTTTGCAGTTCGAAATGTTAAAAGACTGAGGCGTTCCGAGCGCGTTTGGAAGATGAGAGCGCCAAAAAAAACGCACAGTACTGTAGCAAGAGCCCGACTTGCAGTTTAACAGTAAAGTTTAACAGTTTAACATATTAAACAAAAATTAGGTGCGCGGACTGGCGCGGAGCACTTTTGGAAGATCAGGTCGGAAAAACGCACGAGAATATAGCGTGAAGTCTGCACAGTCTGCTCGCAAGTTGGTCGATTTGGTGCGGGGTACTTTCTATGCCGGATTGGAGAAGAGATGGCTCAGCGAAGAGGTGGCCTAGACTTACAGAAGATTTGGCTTAGGGAATGGAGGGCTCAACCGGCTCAACCAAGAAATAGCTCATTTCAGTCATTCATTTACCGTATTCATTTGTTCACTCATGTGTTTAGTCTTTCATTGCTTGATTCATTCATTGATTCATCCATTAAGTGAGTCACACATTCATGGATGCACTCATTCATTGATTCTTTGATTGATTCGTGTCATTGATTTCATGTCATTTCATTGGCATCTGAGTAACCGTTTGCGCAGTCATTGATGCACATTGCACATGACAACCTCAATGTGTCATTCCTTGTGCGTTTCACGCAGTGTTGTTTTGAAACTTCCGACCCGGCGCGGCGAAGCCTCATTGCAATAGGGTCTACATAATACCAGATAGTGCTTCGCCGCAAAGCACTATCTGGTATTATGCAGTACGTATTACAATGATGGGACCTTTTTGCGCAAACCTGCAAGATTGCAATGATTGGATTTTTTTTTGCGCGGACCTGCATACGCCAACTTTAAAAGAAAAAACCGCATTAACATAATTTAAGTATACCAACCTACGTCAATGAGGTTTGCGATGATGTTACAGCTGCTTTCATCACCTATCCATACAGTCCCTTCTTGATCTCTGCGTAATTACTTTTAATCCAAACATGGCGCAATGGCCCCGAGCAACTCCAACCATATCATGAGGGTACTCAAATCTGCCAACATTCGCGTGCTCGGGACGACGGGGTTCGGGATGGCAAAAAGTGCAGTCGTCCAGGTCTTTGGCACGCTGCCATGCCCCGCACGCATGAAAGGAAATCACCAGCCGGATGTAAAACCTGCAACGATTAGGTGCAATACAATGAAAACTATTAGCATGGCCACTGCCACATGACGTGTGTTTCTCCTACTTGGGGCCTATATTTGTGGAATTCACAGCGAAAAGATGTGTGACCCTCTTACTGTAGCCACGTAATCGACGTAATCTTGTCAATGCATTTCTGTTAAGGACTTTGGAAGATGCCAGGGATTTCATGACGATGATGGTGACGAAAACTAGTGAGAATCGCCAACAACTTGCAGACGCACGGATGCAAAATTACAGCATGCAGTGCATGCAGCATGCATTTTGTTCTGGCAATCAGCCAATCATTAATTTCGGAAGTTGATTCGATCACACTGCAGCCAAAACCTTTTTTCTTTCACAGTACTGGCTGCAGCACACCGATCTTATTCGCATGAGATTTGTACAGTTCGGCATGCATCCAGCAAGGACATCTTCGGGGGCGACTGTTCTCGAATTGCCCGCATACGGACTGTCCTGGATGAAGTGGTCTTGTCGGAAATGAACTGCCAGGACCAAAGGGTGCTCACCTTAGATTTTGATGTGCCTGGCTTGTGGAGGTTTCAATGCTTACATTGTTCGCTCAGTACTGGTACCTTCAATTGGTTGTGCCAGGTTCGTACTTGCACAGAGGCTTGCGTCACATGGCAGCAGACAGATGCAGTCAGCTTTCATCGCAGTACTTGATGGAAAGAAACTTCCTTTTCGCTGAGACATGCCAGCGAGTGATCAGATGCTATCATGTGGCTAAGTGCATGGGTAAGGGACCCCGTTTTTTTGTTTTTTCTCCCACGCTTATGATTCTTGTTGCATGAATTGCTTTCCTTATTATGAGCTGCTTAAGCTGCTAGAACGGCTCTGCCGGACTGAAACTAGCGAAAATCCTGTGAGTGGCTGAGGAGACCATAGAGAAAGTGCTGGAGGTGCGGCGAGCCGTTCAACATGCCCATGCTGCCCATGAAAGCACGAAGAACGATATGGGAATCAAATGGAATCAACAGGCGACGTGCAGAAACACTAAAATCCGTGCAGACAATTTCAAATGTGCCAGTAGATGTATTCACACAAAGGTGCTCGCTCACACACGCACAGATGCATGAAAAAAACATGATGCACAAATACAGTTCCTGTGTCTCTGAAAGCACAGATGCCTTAACACACACACACATACAAATGCATAGCTATTAAATTACATTTGCCTGCGCTCATGCCCATGAACATGCACTGGATGTGGGATCTCACGTGGCACTCTTGTTTGCAAGAATTGTTGAATGGCAATAAATAAATGAATAAATAGATAAACAAATCAATCAATAAATAAATAGATAAATAAAAAATAAATATATAAATAAATATATAATAAATATATAGCATGTATATATATATGCATGCATATATGTTCATATGGCATTGCATCATATTCAAAACATATTTTGTCAGATGGTAGGGCACATGTTCAGGCATGCCAATTTGAATGCGAAATTGATTGCAGAATCTTCTTACCTTGGCATTTGTGACCCACAGTGGCCGCATAGCTTAGCAAATCGTAACCCTCACACCAAACCTACAGAATAAGAGTAGCAAATGCAATCGCGTTTCTATTGCTTTTGTATCGATTCTTGACTGGGAAGACTCCGTCAAGCTCTCTGAGGATATGGGACTTGGATGGTGCCTGAAGAAAGCCCAAAGTGAGGAAAAGGCCAGGGCTCGGAGTGTGCTTGTAGAATTTTGTAGAAGCTTGTGCTTGGAAGTGACTTGCGGAAAATCGCACGAGAGTTCGCCTCCTGGCCATTCTGATTCGACGACATATTCCGACAACGTATAGCATTATAGATTATAGCAGCATAGGAGAATGATAGCAGCATTAAAGCAGCATAATTATGGCTCCCTGTGGCACAATTCCTGGATTGGCTGGGTGGTTTGTCTTGAGCTAGCTGGTTGGCTGCTTTGTGAATGCTTGTCTCCCCTGGGCCGCTTCTTGTTCAGGCCAGCTTCACAAAGAGGCGTTCAAGCAACTTTCCCTCAAGCAGAATTGTTGCCCGAATTCAATTCAATCAAAACCAATACACACACGCACACACGTATATGCGTATATATATATATACACACATCTAATTCTATATCTAATGTCTCATGTCTGATGTCTAATTTCTAATGTCTCTGATGTTTGATATTTGACGTCTCATGTCTAACGTCTCTGACTCATGTCTGATGTCAGATGTCTAGTAGTCTGATGCCTATATAACGATACAAAACCCATGTTCACCGGTGCAAGTGAGACACTTTGGCCGGTGAAGTGAGATTCCACCCTCAATGTATGTCTATGTATATATTTATATGTGTATATATGTCTATGTATATCTATGTGTATGTGCATATGTACATGCATACGCATATGTATATGAACATGTATATTTATATGCATGGCAGCAGGCGCATACACATACAATATAGTTTATATACTTAAATATGTGTACACAAACTGTTCATTCATACACGTTGAAACTGTTGCTGCCCATCTCGCGATAAACCATAAAGTCATAAGTGCAACAGCCACGTGGGCCAAAGTCGTGAAGGTGCTTTAACATTTTTTGAGGCATTGGATGTAAGGCCTCAATGTTTTCAGGTATTGACCGCGAAGATTTGTTGAAGGCAGTGCAGCAGATCGAAGGACAAGAGGCCGTGTGAGCGCTATATGATTGCCATATGTTGAAGGTGGTGAGCTTTTCGTTCGGTCCAGACTTGATGTGTATCACAAAAATGGATTGTCCGATTTGCTGTGGAGGTATTTTTCCGCACCGGAGTCTGAAGTGTGTCTTGCAACCGCAGTTTCTGTGAATGCAGGCATCGGCAGTGGAAGTGGACGAGGATGCTTTGTCCCCCAAGGCTTTCCGACAGCTGCGTGACCGGAATAGTCATGAGAACGGATGGTAAAGACCACTTAGGTAGTTGGTGTCTCCTGAGACCATTGAATGGACAGTCTTCTTCGTTCATTGGGAGGCCAAAAGCGAAGCGGCTGCTTGGTCACAATGCTATGACAAGGCAAGAGTAGTGTGCCTGAGCATTTAGGAACATTTGGTTCTGGGCTTTGAGTGGAAGTGATTTTGAACATCCATTCTTCCCTTGACAGGATTTTGTGCAGTGCCTTAGCGTGCAGTTGGGTGTGGTGTTCATCTGTCAAAGGTTTCAGCAATACCTCTGGTATCTGTGGTATACGGTTCAGGACAGGGTCAGGCTCGTGATTTGTTGCTGCCCGGGCCAAGGCGGGTCCTGGCATGTCAAGAACCAGTCGAGCTCCAGGCATTAGAGCAAGAGGCGTGACCGGATGTAACCGGTTGGACATTGGTTGCATTGAATAAATAGTGAATATATCATGAGAATAGCTGAAGTATATCACTTTGGAAATTTGGGAACCGGCACTGATTACTGAGAGATGCTGAATCTCTGCAATTACCCAGTTTGCAGTCACGCGTGTTGTTGTGCTTGTGGCTAAGGTTGCCGTGCTGTGTTTGTCAGTGAGCATCACTTTCAAAGTTCTGGTTCTGGGACAAGCCGGGGGTGTAGGCGCTCTATTCTCAGGCAGTGGCAAGTAAGACAACAAAGCTTGGAAACTGGATGATTTGGATGGTGCACCGCGCTCACTTGGATGATCCCACCTTGGTGAAGTTTGATACTTGGCAGAGCCTTTGATCGTGAGGTATTCGTCAGGTATGTCAGCGACATTGGTGTTCAACATGGATCTGCTTTGATGTAGATCGGTTTTGCCACATGCCGGCATCATGCCATGCAGGATGTGCAAAAGATTGATGTACGCACTTTCATTGATTCATGCTTTTACACACAGGATTTTACCAATTTGAAGATGCCTGACGGCAATGTGGAACCATTGATCTCGCCCAAACTGGCCGTGGCGATGGAGAGTGTCTCGCATTTTAATTCGGCAATATTTTTCTTTTTGTTGCAGGCAACCTTGTTGGATGGTGCCTGGTAGCTTTGAAAGTGGCCACATGGTTACACCGGCTTCATGGAGATTGAATGGACTAGGACAATATTGAACTCTGAGACATCCTGTCGGCTTCACCAACCCTCACGGAGGCTAAATGGTCTATCGGAGTATATCGCATACTGTCTGTTTTTTTGGGTGTCAGACAATTTCAGGCAATACCCACATCGAGAACTTGCTGCCTGGCTGGAACAGCTTGCAAGCCGTGCACATGTCAACTCTCTAAACCGACAGAAGCCACAGGTTTCTTGTTTGGTGTTCGCGTGAGGCTGATGGGTTGCACCAATCTCCGAGATCAGGAAGCTGCCATTCTAGCGGTCTCGTTGCGCTCCAATCACTCGCTCAAGGTGGGCTCTGTTCACATCGAGGTTAAGTCATGAAAAGGCATCTGGCACCTGTGACCCAACCGTGCACCTTCTCTATCCTTCACTGATAGTGCCACTTATTTTCAGGCTGACTGGCTTTTGAAATCACCATTTGTGGGAACTGAGGTCTTGAATATTGACACCAATGCTATTCAACCTTTGACTTTGGAGTCTATCGCCAATGGCACGAGTGTCAACCAGGCTTTGCAGGAGCTACGGTGCAACAACACTGCCAGCGGGCGCCTTGTGACTGAGGCTTTCCTTCACGCTTTGAAGTCAAATCCGAGCCTCTGCAAGCTGGGGTATCCTGTGACAGATGCATACTTCAGAGGAGAAATCGACAAGCAACTGACACGAAACAACGATGCTGCCCGCAAGAGGCGCCTAGAAGAGAAGCGACGAAGGGAAGCTGAAGGTGGAGCTGAAAAATCTGAGACTCCGAAGGTTCAAGCCAAGACGCAGTCAGCAGGATACCCAGCAGCAAAGCCAACACCGCCGGCCGCAACACCAAAGCCGGCTGAAGCAGAACCCTCGGTGCAAAGTGCAGTTGCCGAGGGCGAAGAGAAAGCAGAGGCGAAGCTGGAGGATGAAAAACCCGGAGCACGGGAAGCGCAGGAAGCGCAGGAATTGCAGAAAGGGCAGGAAGCTCAGGAAGCACAGGAGGCAAAGAAAGCAAAGGAAGATCAGGAAGCACAGGAGGCAAAGAAAGCAAAGGAAGAACAGGAGGCACAGGAGGCAAAGAAAGCAAAGGAAGAACAGGAGGCACAGGAGGCAAAGAAAGCAAAGGAAGAACAGGAAGCACAGGAGGCAAAGAAAGCAAAGGAAGAACAGGAAGCACAGGAGGCAAAGAAAGCAAAGGAAGAACAGGAGGCGCAAGAGGCAAAGAAAGCAAAGGAAGAACAGGAGGCACAGGAGGCAAAGAAAGCAAAGGAAGAACAGGAGGCACAGGAGGCAAAGAAAGCAAAGGAAGAACAGGAAGCACAGGAGGCAAAGAAAGCAAAGGAAGAACAGGAAGCACAGGAGGCAAAGAAAGCAAAGGAAGAACAGGAGGCACAGGAGGCAAAGAAAGCAAAGGAAGAACAGGAGGCACAAGAGGCAAAGAAAGCAAAGGAAGAACAGGAAGGAACGGAAGCAGAGGAAGCACAGGAAGCCCAGCCAGTCACCAAAGCTGCGCCAAAGACCCCAGTCGAGCCAGAAGATTCTGCAGCCTTGCCTGGGATGGTTGAAGCGGCGGCCTTAGGCAAAAAAGGCTCTGATTTTGTTCTTGTTGCAATTGTTCCACACAAGAATCCCCTCCCTCTCGTGGAGTGCAGCAGTTTGGGCAAAGCTGTGCTGGCTCAGGCTCCTGCTCCCATGCGTAGTTTGCGTGCCGTGGAGAGCATGTGTTGATGTGAAACTGTTTACTTGCCTCCCGAAGTATGTCTTTCAAAAGGGCACCAGGTGTCTCCAAACCATTGCTGAATGCCTTTGCTGGCCGTTGCCGGCCAACACCAAACCTAAGGGTAGTAGACTGGCCCAGGTGGCTATCTCTACAAGAAGAGCCCCTCTGCTCGTTTGCTCAAGTCCTGGGATTGGAGGTTGCTTGGATGTCACAATAGCATCGCTACTGCAGCGGTTTGGCAGCTCCATTGCTCACATATCGCGTCAAATTCGATAATTCTTCTGTGCAAGATAGCACGGTTTGATTAGTTTCGTTGCAGTCCCTATCCATGCCCGTTCAGTAAAGCAAGGAGTAGGAAAGCATCGGTTCTTCCTGTTGATGGACCTGCAGATCCAGGGGTCTCTTCCCCAAGGTATTTTGTGCTTCACGAAGGCCGTCTCATTTGGTGGAGGAACGGTATCGTGTGCAGTGAATTTTTGGTGCAGCTTGGTCAAGGCATGCCACAGATTTTTCCGCATGCATCGGCATCCAATCCAGCCAGGAGGGAACGGGATTTTCCTTCCGAAACAGTCTTGAGCCAACCAGATCCTGCAGCCTGCAAAGGCACACCCATGACATCCATGACCAAAAACAAACACATTGTTTTTGGGCGCTTTGGTGTGCCTGTGTGTGTTTGTCCGCGTGCCAGCTCCAGGGATTTGCTTTGCAGGCTTCATCGACTTCAAGCTGAGCCGCGCGCGCATTGTTCCGGACCAACAGAACCCCATGATCTTTGCCATTGAGTCTGTGGATGGAATGTGGCAGGCCTGTGCACAAAAGGCATGTTGAGCTCAAATGTCTTCCCTTGGACGCGAGATTTTGCACGTCAATTCACTCTGGTGCCCACAGTCGGGACAACTGTTCTTGTCCGTTGCAGGAAGGATCCTTGAAGGCCTGGTAAAATGCGCCGGGGGTTGAAGGATGTTGAAGGGTTGATGCATTTGCGAGTGAAACTCACTTCGCATTGATGTTTCGTTCTGTTTGAGATTATTTTGTCCTCAGCACACCATTTCCACTGTCCATGAATATCCTATTTTAGCCAGGACCTCCTTTGGGACTGTTCGAATAGTTCCATTGCAACTATCAATAACGATCATTTGGTTCCTGTAGAAGCTGTTTTGACAGGGTGCGCTGATTTTTTGAATGATATATAATCAAGGGAGGTGGAAAGATCAACGAACGGCACGCATCTACTTAGACGATGCGCGTGCATCCCTCCTTAAAATGAGCCTTCCTGAAGGCCTGAAACAAGTGATGGGCCGCTATCGGCGCTTCTGGCCATCCTTGTTAAACAGCTAGCTACGCCAAGTGATTAAAAGTGGGCAGGTTGGCGCTCTTGAGCGGACCAGTTCTTGAACTGGCTTTTTTCCCTTTTGGGGCTCCTGAGCCTTTTTGGTCCCCTCTTGAGGGGCCTTTTACTTGTCCTCCCACTTTTTGGCTGATTGGGCAGGTTGGGGATTAATTTAACATGCCATGGCATGACCACCGTTGGGTGTGGACCGTGGTGTGAAACCCGGTTTTACTCTAGTGGCTGCTTTAATAATATGGTTCTCATCCCAACCTTGATTACCCACATCGGCTGCATAAAAGAATCGCTAGCTTAAATACAAATAAATAAAACTTATATATATATATATTTATGCAATTTCATGCAAATCTTTCCAGAGGACCACTTGTCCGTTACAATTTCGCTGCACAGAGTGTAGGGAGTGGAACGCTCTCTCCAAACGGTACACGCGCACAGATATACCATAACATACCAGACATGACATGACATTTCTTTACATTACTATACAGTAGACTACATGTTTATTGCAGTATGTCACATACATACATGCATGTATGCATGCATACCGCTCTTTCGGGCGGACGCTCGCCCAGAGTTTCATTGGGGAGTTATATAGTGTCTTTAGGGTTGGTTTAGGGTTATTTTGATTTAGGGTTGTTTCCGGTTTATTTTCAATTGGTTTCAGGTTTCTTTACAGTTGTTTGGGGTTTATTCATAGTGTTTTTTTTTTTTGGTGCTATCTGGGATTGCTTTATAGGTCTTGCATGGAATTCTGACGTTTTTGGGCACCCGTCAGCCCCCTAGCCATACATACATATGTGCGACCAATTATTCGTTGATGCATGCATGTGCATTCATTCATTCATTCATTCGTTCGTTCGTTCGTTCCTTCATTCGTTCGTTCATTCATTCATTCATTCACTCATTCCTTCATCCGTTCATTCATTCATTCGTTCGTTCGTTCATTCGTTCGTTCATTCATTCATTTACTCATTCATTCATTCATTCGTTCGTTCGTTCATTCATTCATTCATTCGTTCATTCATTCATTCATTCACTCATTCCTTCATTCATTCATTCATTCATTCGTTCGTTAGTTCATTCGTTCGTTCATTCATTCATTTACTCATTCATTCATTCATTCGTTCGTTCGTTCATTCATTCATTCATTCGTTCGTTCATTCATTCATTCACTCATTCCTTCATTCATTCATTCATTCATTCGTTCGTTCGTTAGTTCATTCGTTCGTTCATTCATTCATTTACTCATTCATTCATTCATTCGTTCGTTCGTTCATTCATTCATTCGTTCGTTCATTCATTCATTCATTCACTCATTCCTTCATTCATTCATTAATTCGTTCGTTCGTTCGTTCATTCATTCGTTCGTTCATTCATTCATTCACTCATTCCTTCATTCCTTCATTCATTCGTTCGTTCGTTCGTTCATTCGTTCGTTCATTCATTCACTCATTCCTTCATTCATTCATTCGTTCGTTCGTTCGTTCGTTCATTCGTTCGTTTATTCATTCATTCATTCATTCACTCATTCCTTCATTCATTCATTCATTCGTTCGTTCGTTCGTTCGTTCATTCGTGCGCTCATTCATTCATTCACTCATTCCTTCATTCATTGATTCATTCGTTCGTTCGTTCGTCCGTTCGTTCGTTCGTTCATTCGTTCATTCATTCATTCATTCATTCATTCACTCATTCCTTCATTCATTCATTCATTCGTTCGTTCGTCCGTTCATTCGTTCGTTCATTCATTCATTCACTCATTCCTTCATTCATTCATTCTTTCATTCATTCAGTCGTTTGTTCGTTGATTCGTTCGTTCATTCATTCATTCACTCATTCCTTCATTCTTTCATTCATTCATTCATTCATTCATTCATTCATGCATTCATGCATTCATGCATTCATGCATTCATGCATTCATGCATTCATGCATTCATGCATTCATGCATTCATTCATTCAGTCATTCAGTCATTCATTCATGCATTCATTCATTCATTCATTCATGCATTGATGCGTTGATGCGTTGATGCATTCATCCATACATCCACACATCCCCACACACACACACATGTCACGTACATGCATGCATGCATTCCTACATTCCTACCTACATTCGTACTTTCATACATGCACACGTAGAAAATCTGAATACTATTCAATCAGGTACAAAGGCAGATGAAGAATGTGTCAAGGCCCCCAATTTGCACAGAATTCAGGACATGACCGATGCGCAGAGAACTTTTGAGCCACTTGGAAACGAACAAGTACCAATGCCTGCCGCCTTGCTCTTCAACATCTGAGAAGTGCACTTTCTTCAGTCACCCTTGCATAATTTGCCAAAACGCATCACCCAGATTCGATTTTCGCTCACAGAGTTTCCCTTCCAAGGGATCTGCAGAAGACTCCAATTCACCCAGGTTCGACTGCACGCAATCTGCTCACAGCCGAGATGAGTGGATGGAAGCCTTGCGCAGTGCCAACCAATGATCTGGATTTTTCATGACCAGTCAAATGGGTTGCTAATTCTCAGTGATTTTGAAACTTTCATAACTTTGTTCAGATTGTCTATCACAGAATTTTTGTTTGGTTCATTTATTGCCTGCTTTTGTGCATATTATGATTTGCCAATCTCGCCAAATGATTTTTGCGGATAGCCACATCAGTTTGGGATCACCAGGCATGTGGTGTTTTGCAAAGAAATTCGTGTGAGCCTCCAGCGGTTGGCGGGGAGGCCGGGCTGCCTCGCTCAAGGCGGAGCGGAGCCAATTCTTATGGTTTATTGATGGGTACCATTGATGGGTACCATTGATGGGTGTTGGCCCGTTCATGGACCCATGGACCCATGGATTTCAATGGCTTGAAGTATCATGAAGTATCTGGAAGCCGATGGCCAAGTCATCCGGCTTCGATGTGAACAATAAGCCCCACATGAAAATGCCGCCTGTTGCAAAGAGACACTTAAAAACTTAAGAGTGCCATAGACCTTGACTACTGTCACAACTGGAAAGCAATCAATCAGTGAGATGAACCATTGTCAAGGACAGCTGTTGTTCTTGGGTTTGTCGCTGCATATTGATTTCCTGCTTTTGCTTCAAAGTTTCATGGCTCTAATCCTTAGAAAAGTCTTTAGTTCATGCGCAGTTTCGTAGATTGGCTGGTTTGCCATGGTCTTGCTAGAGGCAGGGCAATTATCAAACGATCGCTGGATTGGTGCATTTTGGTACTGACTGGGATGATACAAGATACCATACTCGCTAGTTGTCACTCTACTCCTAGTTTAATTTGAAGTAGTCCGGTGGTGATTCAGCATCCGATGTTTTTCAGGCTCGAGCAAGTCTAAGTTTAGAGGTCAATGCGGCAATATATTGTTTTCCCAATCGTTTTCGGCCTTGGCCTTCTTTTTGCGGGTTTCATGCCCTCTCGGGTAGGCACCCTAGGTGCTGACATGTGGGAGCCAAGCTCTCAGATCCTCTCGACGACCGAAATCAATCACTTTGGCCATCAGCCAGCGCCAGCATCGATGCTCGATTCGCTCAATTCTGTTAGCTCCGGCAGTCTGAAACCTACTGTGACACCTACCCTTCAGAATGACAGCCAAGAACTGGGTCGCCCAACGCAATTGCGCGTGGATGGAGACTTCTTGAAGCGTGAAAGTCGGAAACCCTTTATGAGCCTGCCGAAGGAAGCAGACTGTGACCCACGGGCCCACATACTGGTGATTAACTCGCACGGGCAGACGGGACAGCAGGGGCGAGATCATATCAATCGAGAGTTTACCAAGGCAGGCTTGGCCGGCCTTTTTCATTTTTGGCCAGCAGAATCAGCATCTTCCAATGGTGAAGCGGCTGAGATTGAAAGGGGTCATGAGCTGCAAGCTCTGAGTCATAGAAGGATTTATGAAACGCTGCTATACATGAAGTGGGCTTGTGCCACCATCTTTGAGGATAATGTGAGGCTGGTGGATGATTTCCTTCCACGTCTAACCTCCATCACGGTGACAGACAGTATTCCCCCTTTTGATGTGATTTTTTGGGGTGGCTCAGTGGAGAAGGTAGGGAAAAAACCAGAGCTTACCTACGGTCAACCTGGTGGACAAGGTCCGTGTTGGTTCGCGTACACCGTGAGCCTGCAGGGTGCTCTCCTTCTTTTGCAGGCCACACCGGCGACACTGGCCAAAGGAAATGACACTTCGTATCAGAACCTTCGAAAGATTCGACCTCACATCAACAAATCACCGCACCTGATGGCAGGATCCTACTGGACTGTTGTTCCAACTATGGCTTTCAAGGGATGATTCCACCCTGCTGGTGGCACTGCTGGTGGCAGTTGACTTTTTTTCTCGGAGAAATCTCGGGACGGAGTGGTCCACGGAGTCCCTCCTGCAAGGCCACAGACAGAGACAGACAGAGACCCAAGGGCTGATTTGCGGTTGCTTAGTGCTAGCCTTCACGATCATGACGCAGACTCCTTTGCCTTACGCTCCTTGAGCCTGTTGATCAAGCTAAAGCGTTGTGAGATTGCAAAGGGGCACTTAAAACAAGCTGAATGAGAGGAGATTTGAGAACCTGAATGCACTATCGAGATAGAAGACGGCTTTCACTTGCCACAATCAATTCTGTCACGAGTGTACCAGCCATGTCATGGCCCACCATGACCAGGAAGACTGAAGAACGATAGGTCCTTTCTCTGATAGAAAAGACGAGGCGGACTGTGGAAGCCTGCAGCAGAAGCGAAAAAGGTTCTTGTTTGGACCAAGTGGGTTCTCTGCTCACTTTACGCCTGATGCTATGAGGGTCCGATGCTATTTTACCTTGGTGGCATGTGTTTGCATGTGTCTGCAGCGTAAGTGTGATGCCATGTGTGATGATGTCCCTCCTGGTTGTTCCATTGAGCAGATGTCAGCAGACCGTCTTTTGAGGCCTTTGGCCTTGCATCGGCTGAGCTATTTCAATACAACCGTGTCTTGAAACAACAAGACCAACAAGGGGGATGACTGGGGTTGAGTTGGGATGAGTTGGGATGACTTGTAATGACCTGGTCTTGCGATCTTCGAACCGACTCAACATGTGTCCACAGTTCCTTGGGGAAGAACGGCAGCCAAGGCGAGAATTTTCAGTTCGACAATGAACAGAGAATCAGCAGAGATGTGCCTTGATTGGTTATCATTAGTTGATTTCGTGTCTTCAAGTGCGAACCCAGATAATTTGCGGATCTTCTTGTGTTTGTTGTGCTGATGACACTTGTGGCCAAGACCCTTGCAGCTTGTTGCATCAGCTATGGCAGCTATGGCTGAGGTGCAGAAGTACAAGATGCAGGTGGAGCGTTTCGAACTTTTCCGTGAGGACATTGAAGACCTTGTCAAGCTCACCGTGGACAAGATGGACCTCTGAATGCATTTGGACAAACTCGAGTTGGCATGCACGCACACGTCTAACACATACGCACACATAGACGTGATATCACACATAGTTTCAAAATCAACGTTGAGCGGAGCAAACCTATCAGTAACACCCGAAGTGGCTGGGTCTGTGTATTGAGCTTGCATTGTTTTCTTGCACACTGGGGCATTTCTTGGATGAGGGCCACTGTCACGCATGGTGTCTCCAGGAGTCGTCAGCTAGGTCCATCACCTATATGGCACACTTCTTCATTTCCAGGGTTGGTAGGGCCAGGGACTTCAAACATCCTAGAACAAGCTAACCGTCAGCTTTCTTCAGCCGCTGATTTGTTCGCTTAGTCGAGGATATGTACCACTTGGTCTCAGCAGTGGTACTGGGTTTCACCACAAGCATCTTCACGGAGGGTCGCATTTGGGGAGCCTCGCCCCCCTCCTACATTGCAACCTACTTCATGACTATAGGCCGGGTACTGAGGTCACATGCCACAGATTGGCATTGAAATGAGTGAAGGCTAGGCGCAAGAAGAAAATTCAACGCTTGCAGGATGTGGTTGGCTATACCTTCTCATGACGGTCTGGCTCAGCATGTGCCAAGGCAAAAAATAGATATGGATATATGGATATATACATATATAGATATATATCTGAACATAGGGTAATCATAATTTTCCCACTTGTCGGGTTATGCTTGAAGGAATACCGTATATACCCCATTTTTTTGTCAAATGCATTTGACTAAGGTATGCGTCAATCTCCTCCCACAGCTTGGGCGTGCGACTTCGGACCCGCTACGTGCGTTTGCCGATTCCCAGCATGGAGCAGTTGCTTGGCATGGAAACCTCCCCGATATGATCTGTGAAATCTGTGAAGGAGGCTTCCAACAATTATGCCAATATCGCAGTGTTGCGTGCTACGAAATGCTTTCCTATCTGATTTTAGGCTCTACGGCATCTCTTCGAAGCTTCAAGAGTTTGAGAAGCAGGGACTCCAAAAGGTATCACCGACAGGTGTTATTCTAAGCAACGCCCGCAGCAATAAATCTGCCAACAGACCAATTCTTCACATCGTTCCTTGCACCGGTCGCATTCCACTTCTTGCAGTCTGGGTGATGTTTGCATCCAATCCTGACCTTTGCTTGCCAGATGTTCCGCTTACCCTTCGGTCCACAGGGCACCCCACAGTGGGATGCGCCACGTGCCGGGGTGGCTGCACCTAGCATGCTGCCGCCAGGTGTGTTACTGGAAATAAGATGCCTTGCAACCTTAGTAAGCCTTAGTCATCCTTAGTCTCTTGCAGCAATGAAGCGAATACTAACCGATCCTGTGCCAGGCAGCTCTGATGGCCCAACTGCTCAAGAACGTCCGCTGCATCATTCAAATTCAATGACTTCAGAGGTGTGTGGGGCAGGGGGCATGCAGTGTGGTATGTGGCAGGAAGGCAACCATTAAAGGCAGTCAAGGTGCAGCTACCACACGCATTTGCAAGCTGCAGGCATGTTTGTCACACATTTCCTTTCTTTTTTTTTTTGGGGGGGGAATGGTTGATCAGAGATATAAAGAGTAGAAATAGCATTTTCACAGTTTTAACCGCAAACTTTCTCTTCTGCCACCACCATGCGCCTTCCTGCTGCTTTCGTGCGGGGTTGTTTTGGCTCAAGTTTTGGGTGGTACCAAATAGTTAAGTCACCACTGATCCAAAACAGCAAAAGCTGGAACAGTAAAAAATGGAACGGATTTACACACATTTCATTTCAACTGTACTGTCACCGTAAGCCGGGTTGTAAGGAATGATGAATTGAACTGTGCCCTGACTCCAGGTCACTTACCACACCCTCCGGAACCGCATTGCTAACCACTGACAAAACTCCTGGACTGATGCTGCAATGCCTTGTTTGATGGCATGGATGGCATGGATGGCATGGCTTGTGGTTTTCCTGGCTTTGTGCGCCGATGCCAAGCCCCGAGAACTCTTCGAGGTTGGGCCCGAGGATCAAGAAACTGGTCTTGAGCCCTTCTACGATGGAAACATGGCAACTTGGCCAACTTTCGCAGCATGGTTTGGCGGGTTTTGTGCACTTGTTTGCCATATGAGTGGTGCTGCACACCTTAGATTCAGCTGCCGCATTTTATTATACTTGTTGAGTCTTTCTCAGCTATGCGCTGGGTACGCAGGGCACTTTTTCACGAAGAGCTGCCCCACACAAGTTGATCTATGTTGATATGATATCCACCTTTGGCATCCTTTGACCTTCAACTTCAGCAGGTAGGGTTATGAGAATTTGAGAGCCACAGGCTGGGCCATCAACACATACTGTATTTATTTTTCAATTTATTATCAATTTCCTTTTCAAAAAATATTCGACTTTCTGATTGCCCTACCAGAAGGTCTAAATCGATGATTTTTTGAAAAAGACCTCGAGTTCTTTTCATTTTTCCGAAAAATCTTCGATTTATTTTTGATTTTCGTTTTTTTTCCGTTTCAAAAAATCTACTGTAAATCGATGATTTTTTGTAAAAAACCTTCAGTTTTTTCATTCGAAAAATATTCGATTGATTTTTTTTTCTGTTTCAAAATTTCTAATTAATTCGATGTTTTTTGGTTGGCAAGAAATCAGTTTTTTTGAAAACGAAGATGATGATAAATCGAAAAACTAATTCTTTTTCAATTTCCAGTCTGTGGCTGGCTGGAATTCGCATAAAGGTAGGGGGAATCAACTTGCTGGGGTTCCCCATTCCAGGAGCCCTGGGGTGTGGTCTGTGTGGGCTACGTGAATGAAGGCTCAGCCAACCACCAGCTGTTAAAAAAGCTTGGCGCAGTGACTGAAGAATCAGATGAAGCCCTTTGGGAACTGCAGGCTGGGAAACATGATGAAACATGATGAAACATGTTCTGCCTTCACCAGACACAAGAGCGTGCAAAGCAGCTGGGATACCAGCTCGATTTTGCATTTTGTTATCCAGCAGCTGTCGTTCAATTCCTTTTGTTGCAAAGTTGCGGTGTTATGCGGTGTTCTCTGGATTTTGAAATGTCGGTTCCACGGATGTCGTTTCATGTCGTTCCATGTCGTTTCAGGTTCCTATGATTGCAGCAAAGGACTGGCAAGAACAGGAGACCTTACACCTGGTCCGTCGAAACTATGCAGCGAAGCTTTGGGAGATGATCCAACTGTCTCCCTTGGACAGTGATCCCGTTGTTTTTCCTGGCGATGGCAAGTGGAAGGACTGAAACCCGTGATCTAGTTTAGAGACTGTGCCACATTAGATCTCCAGTGGAACTTGCTGGTTGCTCGAGTATGAGCGCACAAAAAACACAAAGGGACTGTCAAACAGCGCAAAAAGATGCAAATAAAGAGACAAAAATCAGGGGGAAGAGCCAAATCATCAGACTTGTGTGCTCCCTTGTGCCCTTTTTGCTGATAAAATCTGATATGAACAATTCTCGAAAGTGAGTGGACAAAGATAAAGCTACAAGGGCGCACTACAAAGTCATCAATGAGCTTCTCAATGGTGGAATGCGATTGTTGCATGCGGTCTGGTGGGGACTTGGGGTTTAGGTAGCGCCACAAAATGCCACAAGTGTTTGTCAAAACAAGGTGAGGCTCTTGGAGTGCTTTTCGAATGATCCATCAGAAAGAAAAGAGAGACTTTTCCTCGCCCTTGCAGGAAAAAGAGGTCCGAAAATGGCTGATGGAAAATGCATTCCCCACCATCAACTACAGAATTCCTGGGTACCAGGGGAAGAAGCAGCCTTTCCCCTTTAACAAGTACTTTGGAAGTGGGAACGCTGGTGGAGTTGGACTAGTCATGGTGAAGATAAAGGATTTGAACGATTTTGGCCCTCAATTCCGTGCGATTCGCTACATGAGGCCGCACATTGAGAAACTCTCTGGGAAAATACGTTTTGCAATTCTAGAGAAGTCGGACTCAACACTGGAAATGCGGACTGCATTGAAAGTTGGCTTGAATGAATCGATTGAGGCCGAGTTAGTACTTTTTGAAAACCTGGATGGAGTGGTCCGAAAGGTAGACAACCACTTCCATGGCAACAAGAAAAAGTATCGGCTGTTGAACCTGACTGAAGATGCAGTGAATGGGTTCTTTGAAGCGTACTACGCCGGCGATCTGCCAACGTACTGGGCTTCGAAGGATGAGGGCAAGGCAAAGTCAGCTGCGGGACAGCTGAGGGCGTGGGACTTTGAAGAAAAGGTGTTCAAGGCTGATCTGAAAACAGCGGTCCTAGTTGCCTTCATGAATGCACCAGAAGATGGCTGTGCAGCCTGCACTGAGGGCCGTTCAGTTTGGGCATCGGTGATGCATGCAGTGCAGTTGAATAGTCAGCTGAGGAAACACTTCCAGATCCTTTGGTTGGATCAATCCAGGGACGAACACCCAGAGGAGTTGGTGCCTGGTCGCCTTGGACAACCCATGGTGGTCTACTATCCCCCAGGAGATGCATCCAAGCGACGGAAAAGGAAGATGTTGCTCCACAGAATGAGCCAATCATTCTTCAAGGATTACATCATTGAAATGCTGGAGGACATGCTGGAAGATCAAGAAGATGGAGAAGAACTTTAAGAGTCTTGATACTACGTTTTAACAGAGTTTCGACGGTGACAATCCTGGCAAGCACGACGCTTTCTCAATTGACCAAAATAGTTTTGTACCGAAATGGCCCAATGTGGCAAGAGACCATGCGACTGGGCGGATCTCTGCCTTTGCCGCGCAGCAAATTCTGATGTCAATGGGAGTGTCTTAGTGCCGCTTCAAGTCACCTGTCCAGGGAGGCAGACGGTTGTGTCTTGGAATGGTTGTGTCAAAGGCCATTTTGACTTTCGAAATGCACAGCAATCCATCAACGTAAAAGTGAGCAGAATATTACTGCCAGATTTTGTTAGCCCTTCTTTCAAGCTGCTAAGCTAGTGACTACGTGTTTGCTTCCACAAGCAATTGCGTAGCTGATTGCTTTTTTGGGAGAGCTTCGCCTGCAGGACCTCCTAGGCAAGGGCGAGGCTGGCTTCGGAAGACAAGAGGTAAAGACCTTAAGTTGATTTGAATTGCGATGAGTACATGACGGTACCAAGCAGTCATTTTGATTGACTGTAGGAACCCAACCCAGTGGCTTGTGTCACATTGTGTTTGGCAGGTTTCAAGTCACATTGCCACAGGAAGAATGGAGAATGGTGGGGTTCATCACATGGGTTCATTGCTTGTGTTTGCTTTCACCAATGTCACCGGACCCCAAGGTGCTAACAAGTGCAGCGTGCGGTGCTTGTCCATGAAACTGGATGACACTCTTACATCACAAGGACATTCTTTTGAGGAAAGTATTGCATGGCATGTGACATTCGCACAGTGCACATGGTCCTCCAAGTTGTAACTTTGGTACTTTGCAAGTGCCCTTGAAATCATCATACTGCGAGCTACCTTGCATTTTTCTGGACATCTCTCCAAGGTCCACTGCTCCAGCACAACATGTACAGATGTTTCGCAAGCTGCAGTCAAAGTCTGGGATCCAAGCCACAATAATTTAGAGAGAGAGAGAAGCTGGCACTGTCATCATCTACGGGAAAAAATGCGCGTACCTATCAAACACTCAAGTTACTTGTGACAGGGACCCATTGAAAAGCTTGGCAAAAAGCTTCATCTCCTCTGGACAGTTTCCCTGAGTTTCCCATATGCCCGTGCTGTGAGGTGGCAGTGCTTTGATGCCTATGCTCGTGTGAGTCAATACCTAAGCTACCAAAGTTTCCAGGGACGGAACTGGCCCTGTGCATCCTGGTCCATTTGGAACCTTTAGGTATGAGCTTGGGCGTCTACCAGATCGTACAGGCTGTCTCAATGTGCCTTACCTGACATGTCTTGCACGTATTTGCTTGGAGCTATTTTCCACGTTGATGTCTTTCGTCGTCTTCCAAGTTGAACTTCTCGTTCGTCAGAGAAGTTTTTCGGAACTGTTCCGGAACGGTCCCGGACTGTAAGATCTGTCAGGCCATCAACCTGTTTGTTTTGGGCCTCACTTTGGTGGAGACCCATTGTCCTTCAGTGGCTTTTGCAGTAACGCTGACGTTGCAAGCCGTGCCTTGGATAAGATTGGACGTCTCACATCGTCCCGCCATGTCCCGCCATGTGGTTTCATTGGAGTGGCTTCAGCCCAGGTGGAAGTTGGATAAGTATGCTAAGTGAAATCCTTGAGGGCTCCTGGAACTTGTGGTGTCAGAGACAGTCCCAGCCAGTGCGAGCACATGCCGAACGCTGGAGATCGAAGCAATTCGAGGTAGCGTTGGCTCTGAATTTTTTGGACTTGGCTGGAATGGAGCTGTGGCAGTGGGCGAGCGCCTCAGAAAATGAAATCAGGTGATGTGAGCAGAATCCTCAGACGCCACGAGACGTCGATGTCATCCGATGTCATGCCGTTTCCGTGCCGTTTCCCCCTTCCAGATATTTCCAGGCTTTTATGCTGATCATTTCTAGTGGGTCAACAGCTTAGACCTGACAGGAAGGACACATAGGCCACTGAGACTCGGGGAAGGACTCCAAACTCTGGGACTCTGGATCTGACTGCTTCGGCTGGTGATAGCACAATGATAGCATTGTTGGACCTACACTGATGAAGAAATGCTGTAGGAGTTGCATGACGAGTGACTCACATTTGTGCAGTATTTATCTCAGGTGCTCAGTCACTACGGCCTTCTCTCTTACATATGCCAAGTTAACGGACCACTGTGCAGATGTTTGAAGAGTTTGGATTTCATTGCGACCGTATGTCACCAGACCTCGAGTTCCATCAGTTAGTCCTTGGATCATCTTGGATCATCTTGGATCCGCTCACAGGACGAGCGTCTGCCAGATCCCACAAAGCCTTTCCCGGCAGCCCCCATTGCCTTCTTTTTCCAGGTTGCAGGGACCAGGGACCAGGGCTGCGTCAAGATTCCACTTCGTCAAAACCATGCAAACAGGGCAAATAGGGCAAGGGTAACGGTCCCGGTTGCGAGCTCGCACAGTTCTCGATCAATCAATCACACCGATACTATAAGATGTTTACTTTCGAGATTTTGCTGGTCTATGACACTGGAATGATATAGGCGTGCTTTACGTTACCAATACGTCACCATTGCAACATGGACAAAGTTTGCGCCAGGCTCTCCACTTCCATGTTCTGTTGATCCTGGCCAGTCCCAGCGATTCATCTACCTCGTTACCAAGGTGCTTTTGTTTCCGTTCTTTGTTTGTGTTCTTCTCCTACGTGGGCAGATTTCTTGCAGCAGGTTTCACCTAGAAATTGGGTCCTAGATTGTTCTATGGACTGTTTGGAGTTGGATCTTGAATTTCTTGGAGGCGGTTCAGGTCGGTCCTCTTTCTGGACGTTTTTGGTGATGCCAGCTACGTCTGGCACCAATTTTATTTTGGAAGAATACTGCGGCATTCGGACATGTTTTTTTCACATGCTAGACACATGCTTGAAGACTTGCTTGAAGGCCTGCTTGCAGACCTCTTTAGACATTTGGCGGTTTTGGATTGCCTCCTGTCTGTTTCTCAGCATACTTCGAGTTGCTAAGGACCCGACAGATGCAGAGCATTCGCTTCCACGGTCAGTGGAGGAAGGTAGCATGTCGCGACCTTGGCCTGGGTGGCGAGCACCGATGGTCTGATGATGATACTTCCTGTAGCTGATGATGGCTGATGATGGCTGACGTATTGTATCAAACTTGAGAGTCATGCTGACCCCTCCAGAGAGAGAGGTCTGGCGCCGCCGAACGAGTCGAGAAGGCAGTGACGGCGATGCTAAAGTCACGGATGTGAAGGGTGAAGCATTTCAGGATAGAGGGAATTCAGCAAGGACTTCGGGACTTCGGGAAATTTGACAGTCTTCACATGTCAGCCCGTGCGTTTTGAGCGTTGAAGGCGACTGCACTGGCAGACTGCTGGGACAAGGGCAAGATGGCACAAATGGCGTTGCGAAGATGGGAGGCCCTAAGATGTTGATTCGTCAGCAGCCTTTGATATCTTTGATCCATTTTGTTTCGATTTGCTTTGATTTGAGTTGTCTTTGATTGGCCTTGTATATCCCTTTGATTGAGCAAATCGTCCCACATTGCTTCGGTGATAGCAGTCATTGCGACTTAGCGGCAGGATTTTTTCAAAAGTTCTTTCTGTGCGGTGCGTCTCAGTGCAGCAAAATGCGCTTTGTTACTTTGCAGAGATTCTTGCAGGCGATTCCTGAGTTCCACATGGCGAATGAGGTGCCTCATTCATCTGAACCCAGCTGGAAAGTTCAAGTAAAGTATTTTGAGTTGTGGCAAATCGCGGCACATTGTGTCAACATGAATCAAAGTTTTAAGTACTTGAGGTTGTAGGTGGCAATCGGGCGGGACCACCTGGTTGCCATCCGCTGCAGGATGCGGAGACGTTGTGGCAGTACAGGAAACAGTTCACCGTTTGGCGCAAGGTGGATGCAACGTAGGGCAGAGATGGGCAGAGCATGCACACTTATGCGCACTTTTTGCCTGAAGGTACTCAAGGTACTCTTGTCATCTTGTGACATCTTGTGACATTGCTGTTGTACAGTTGCACATTGAATTGCGTTGGGCACTGTGGGGATGCGGACTTGCAAAAAGCATGCTAGAGCCAATCAGATCAATGTGATTTGGAGGCCTTGATGGTCAGTTGGAACGAGAACGAGAGAATTCCAATCCCATCTGAGGTGTCCGTGCTTTCATTTTACTTGTTTAGCTGTGTCACGGACACTTTTCTTGCTCAACCAGCTTGCGGTGTTCATGCTTGCTGCCGGACGTGACTTCTGACAGCCTATATCAATATCAATATATATATATATATGTATAGGTATATATATATACCTATATAGGAAATTATAGGAATATATTTAATATATTGCAAATTATTGCGAACTCGGCGTCTTGGTTCTGCTATGCTCTTCGGATGCAATCTAATGAAAATCACAAGTGGTGTAGTATTTGTTGTCCAAGTCCTGAAGCGGTTGCGCTTGGGCCGCTTGGATCTTGTCACAGGTGAGGGACAGCCTGGAGTTGAAGGGTTGGTCAGAGTTAAGCGCCATCGAGAAGGCGTGGTTCTGAATTCCGACCAGGCACTTGGAGGTCATAGGCATAGGACGAAATCAGTGCGTCATTTAAGTAAGGGCTCAACTCAGCAATCAGTTCATCCTCTTTCATCATTTCATATTGCCTTGCACTCATGTTTCATTACATTTCATCCGCAGCTTTCGACGATTCTTCTGTCCTGCATTGGGGCTTGGACATGTTTTAGTCTGGTCTCAACATTCCCGCTTTCAACATGCACCAGCTGTCCTGCCGTGGTCAGAGCGAAGATGTCTTCACCGGCACTCTCATTGGCCCTCTGTACGGGAATGGGCAGCAAGGGTGCGCTTGGCTTGCTATCTGTTGCCGGTTCCTGCTGTGACTGAGCATTTCATTTATGAAGGAGCCCTACAATTAACCCTACAAGCAGCAGTATCAGTAGCTGTGATCCTGCTAGGAGCAGGGGCTACTACTACGACCTGGAGAAGGGTCCGGTTGCCTGTGATCCCTCAGCTGTTCCCCACCATCGGCCATGACTGGGAGTTGAGGTGAAAGTATTTTTGGCACTCAGGGTGCCCAGTCGTTGAGTCTCAAAGAGGTGGCTGGTTGGGCAGGAGCCTGAGATATGAAGGCTGGGATAGGCTTGGGAGCTGGAAGATGTTCCATGATGTTTCATGATGTTTCAATGTTTGTACGTTTTGCGGGGTGGATCATCGATGTCAGTTTCCACGTCATTCCTTCCCCTGGGGAAAGATCTAATCTTTCATCATATGTCAGAGTCACATTCATTAACTGATTCATTAACGCCAGAGCGGATTTCATCAAGTTTGATGAAGACAGGCCCGAGCCTTTAGACATCACGTGATGTCGTCTGAGATCCTATATATATATGATTAGGTTTGATCATAACTTTTACCATGTTTCAAAACCATGTCATTGTTGAACCTTTCCAGAAAGGTACTCTTCACATTCTTCCCTGCTAAAGCGCTGTTTGGCTGGACCATGCTGGACCCGCCCTGCGCCCCCTGAGGTGACGACCTTCCAGCGGGCCGTGCAGGGGCTTTTGGCCTTGTGCCTCGGCCGAATATTTACCCAAACGTCATCACGTATCAAGGGACACCACGGATGCCCATAGCAGCTATTGCATCAAATTGTGTCAAATTGTATCAAATTGTCGCGAACAACATGAATCAACATGAATCAATATGAATCAAAAAACGCCTTTGGCATTTGTTGTGCTGGGGTCTCGGTCACGTTCTGATGGAATACTGGAAGGGGGCATGCCATGCTGTGAATCATGCAATGGATGTTTGTTTCTCGTTGTGGATGGTCTCCCCGTTGATGTGGTCAAGTCCCCACCCTATCATTGATAATTCGCATTAAGTTACGACATGTTACGACATTAAAGGGTTTCTTTTTCGTCATTTTGTCCTGCTCCCTGCTTGTCAATGCTTCTATTAGTTTTTCATCTTTCCACACTGCATTCGGATTGTTTTTCCAAGTGACAATGTTTTTTTTTAAACTTTAGGCTGGGTCCGGTTATTTCTAGTCACCTTGGCAGGAGTGAAACACCTGACGACGATGGTCCGCTTCCCAGTCATCTGGTTTGGACAGTGAATGGTCAGGATTTCATGTTCTTGAGATAATCAGGCTGAGGCTTTTGAGATCTGTGTGTTTGTTGTCCTCTGCGCTATAGCGAAGCTGATGAGATACCACCATGCGCGACAGGTGCGGGCAGCTCAAACAGTCCCCAAAACCAGGCCAGATCGGCAGGACATGTTGAGCAACAGGCCAAATGGACAGCTACAGCAAATGTAGCATGCAGCATTCTTGTGAAGATCGGTGAGTCGGTTTCATAAAGTTTTACCAGATCGACCCCACAGAATCTGCCACTGACTCTCAGCAATCAAAACGTTTTCAACCGGGGATGAGCAAGCGGTGGTCAGGAACGCTAAATTGAAATCATACTTCCGTCACTAAGAACTAGCAACGAAGCTTCGTGGAGAACCTTTCCCCAGTAATTAATCATCATCGTGTAGACTGGACTCGTTTGACTACTCCAATGTCCTGTTTCATGAAGGTGCCAATGACCCGTCGCCGCTCCTTCACCAAGTCCATGCTTTGATCTCAGTCTTTGAGTCCATTACCAGTGAATCTCTGAATTTTCTCTGAATTTTGATTTCTGTGCGATCCAATGTTGTAAGTCGAATCAGTTTTCCATTGTTTTCCTATTTTTTCATGTTCGTCCTGGCTGAACCCTGGTGCTTATGGTTAGTTCTCGGGGTCGAACCTTGCCGTCTCAGTCGGCTGCCACCCGGTCACCCCTTTCTTTCACCACTGAGGACAACCTTCTTTGGGCAGACTCGTGGCTTGGCAGCTTCCAGGTTTCTTGAGGGATTTGGCATGTCGGTGAAGGGGGCTTTTTTACATCTGAAAAAACCACTGAACTTCGATGATTTCGGCAGTGGATGATTGGATGGCATGTTGCTGAGGTCTGCCAGGCCAGGTGGACAATCTACCATGGAGAGTGTTGCTGCGGCTCACCCAGGCCAGCTGGAAAGCATCCAGCTACTTCTTGGGTTAACAGTCGAACATTTTTAGAACATAGTTCAGACATGAGCTAAATTTAGCTAAATCTGGCATCCCTCATTTTGAGGAGCTTGTTTCCCCGCAGTGGAAACGTAACCTGTTTCATGGTACCACCCTTCGTGAACTTCATCGTTAGCTGGATGACTTGAAACCTGTGCGCTGTGGAGCTCAGAAAGGTGGCAGGCAGATCATATGGAAGTGTCTGAGAATTCATGGCAGCATGGTGGGGCACTTTAGTAAGTGAGCCTGCTAGTGGAACTGACATGAACTGACTAGGATATCATACATCACCCTTTGCACCAGAAAGCTTCTCAGTAATTCCAAACTTGGCATCGCAGGTCCTCGAATGCTGTCCGGATCTTACGCACGGCGTTGGTAAAGGTGTGAGGATTGTGCTTCAGAAAAGAGAAACGGGAACTAAACGTACTAAACAGAGTTATAGCATGTGATAACTCTGAAAAAATCACTCCCAAGCCAGCTTCAATCCTGCTCAAGGTTGGATTTTCTTGGGCATCAGTGAAGGCCTTTGCAACTGGTTCCAGCCAACCTTCGGAGTGGATATCTTCCGCTCACACTGGGGCACGGGCACTACGGCTGACACCGTTGAAAACAGAGGCCACAGTACGCTGCCAAACCCGGAGTCTTTCTGCAAAGTGTAGCAGACATGATCCATCACCTACAATGCTACCTACATGTTTACACATGTTCTTCTGATTGAGCGCGCAATGGCGGAGATTCTCACCCCAGCCACTCAGCCACTCAGCCACTCTGGCAGGCTGCCGCAGCCACTCAGCCACTCAGCCGCTCTGGTAAGAGTGACTGGACCAGCCACTCAGCCACTCAGCCAGTCTGAGTGACTGAGTGGCTGAGTGGCTGCTCCAGCCACTCCGCCAGAGTGGCTGAGTGGCTGAGTGGCTGGGCCAGAGTGGCCACTCTTACCAGAGTGGCTGAGTGGCTGCGGCAGCCACTCTGCCAGAGTGGCTGAGGGAAGTTTGTCGATACATACGCAACTTAAACCCCGCAAAATTTTCACTACACACATTGTCTGTGGCATGACGTGGCGGCATCTGAATTTGTATTGGCGGCATCTGATTCTTTATTCTTTGCTGGCTTCGTTTCGCGATGATGTTAGTTACATTTAGTTAATTTTATATTTTATCAACAGAACTTCACGCCAATAAATGATAGCATGTTGGCTTGATCATGTTTGACCCAGCGATGCCGGTGTCAATATATCATGTTGGCAGGCCTGTCAGGAATGACTAATGACTTCACCGATTCATGGATTGATTGGTTACTTAAGTCAGTTGTGCATGATGTCTTTCACATCATTTCATCGGCATCTCAACCACCGTTTGTTCATTCGTTGATACGCCTCGCAGCTCGAAAAAAAAACATCGCTTCTGTATCCCAAACACGTTCCTACAGGCCATTGATTTCTTATAGTGAACAAATATATGTTAATGTTGATTTTTCAAAACTTCCGCCTCGGCATGAGCCTGGCACTAGGTAGCGACATCTATAAGCACCGCCTGGCTGAAAGGAGTCCAAGAAACACACACACACACACTACAATACGGAAATGAATGTTCCACGATTGGAGGTCCCTATAAATTCTATAGAGGTTTTCAAGTGGGTCACGTTTAAAGTTGGTCAGGCTGGCAAGATTTGACCCGCTGGATGACAGTCGTACAAACTTTGGCAAATCTTCACCATAGGAAGACCATACGACCAAAGAAAAGATTTCTTCTTTAAACAATGAAACGAAGGCCATGGTTTGCAGACAAAGACTGAGCCCAAGAAGGACGGAAACCAGTTTTCCAGCAGATAGATCTAGCAGGGGGCGAGCAACAAAAGGGAGATTAACCATAGAGTTGAAAGGCTCACACCAGCCACATTATATAGGACTCAATGAAATATAACTAGATATGATGAGAAACATCACCAACACTATGACATGGAGTGTGTCTCCACATAAGACATGCACTAATCTATGGCAATTTCCATATTAAAAGCAAAAGTTAATCAATTGCATTCAGGGGTGCCCAATTTTGAAAAGGAAACCAGATAAGGATTTGGACAGTTCTTACAATGAAACCGCCCCAAATCAATAACTTAGAAATTCCCCTTTTAGAAGAAACATTTAAAACAAGAAGCCACGTATCGTTCACAAAATTGTGAAATTGAATGGCAATGAACCAATTTTGGTAATCCTTATATGCATGAAACCATGAATCAACTAGTGGTAGCAATCATGACAATTGAATTGCATTTTTTTGGAAAGTTCCAGCAACGTTTGGTTTCTCAGATGTTTATGATTCCTGCATCGAACGCATCCAAAGAAAGTAGACCATGGTCACCATCTAACCATGGAAATTTCCTCAGGACAATCCTTGTGAAACAACCCTTCAAATCAAGAGTCTGGAAATATACCATAATATAAAACGTTGGCCAACTTGTAGCGTTCCTAGAAACTCCATCATGAACAATAGTAAAACAAACAATTCATCCCCCGTTTTTTTAATCTTGTAAAAAATAAAACGTCCACATGTTTATATCGAGTAAAATATGTAAATGCAACTTCAAAAGTATTGTAAATTTATGGAGGCTCTAATTAAGGGGATTTATAATGATCTATAATTCCGAGTTAATTATAAGGGAGTCAAAATTGGTAGTCTTACATGTCTCCTATATGATGTTTGAACCGCATTGTTGCTTTATGCGTTTGCATTAGCCAATATCCGCATTGATACAGCAAAGGATAAAAGTATTAACCTATCCATTCAGCACATCCAGTGAGTGGCACTTACATCCAATAAGAGAGGGTGAACATCAAGTTCATTTCTAGTGAGTTTTGAGTTGGTTTATGGCATTTGATTGATACTATCAAAATTCCTTGATCTCGACTATCTTTAAGGACATGGTACACCCACTAATTACTCCAAACATTTTCAAGCCCTTTTTTGTGTTTATCTTCTGGTATCAGAGAAGATGGATTATGTGAGTTGGACGTGGTTAAGGCAACACACTGCATGTCAATTTCATATACTTCCCATATTGGATTGGGTTCAACTTTTCATTCTACAAGTAACAGGCAATTGTTAATTTTACAGAAGCCAAACCAATGATGCATTCTGAAAAAAACACGAACATATTTCAAAATATTCAGTGCTTTGAGATTTCAGATCTGCAACGAACGTTTTTTTTTTTTCACCAGCCATCACATCTTCATTCCGCGGTGGATGGCTAGAGCCATACTCTCGTTCCGCGCTTGCGAATGACAAAGTCATGCTGAGGGAGGCGGATTCGATACTTTTTCTCACAACCCTTTAACACAATGTGTTTGTTTGCCTGAGATTCCATTCAACCCATAAGAACATATGCCGCATATGCCCCAGTGCCTGCATGGATAAAAGAAGGAACCCTAAATTAACGTAAAACCTCACTTGATATACAATCAAAAACAAAAATGCTTCCAAAAACGTTACGCACATTGACTCAGACCTAAGAAAAATTAGGTCCGGGTAATGCTGCTTACACTCCACTGGATTAGCTGCACTAGCTATTCATCCACTGAGACGCTCTGCCCGGGTGGCTGCGGCAGCCACTCAGCCACTCAGCCGGTGTGGTAAGAGTGACTGGACCAGCCACTCAGCCAGCTGAGTGGCTGCTCCACCCACCCCGCCAGAGTGGCTGAGTGGCTGAGCGGCTGCCCCCAGCCACCCTGGCAGAGTGCCTGAGTGGCTGCTTCGATTTCTCGAGCCATGCTGCACATCCACTCATGGGTTTTTCTCATGTAATTATATGAGTCCTTCTGTTACTCCAGCACCGGCAGCCGCGGTGCTTTTTGCTTGTTCAGGTGACGAGGAGTCCGAGCAAGTTCAAGATGAGCATGAAAGCCATGAAAGCCATGAAAGTCCTGGAAGTCCTGGAAGTCATGAAGGTCTTGAAGGTCATGAAGGTCATGAAAGCGAAGGCCCACTTGTGCTGAATTTTCAAACAGGTCATTTCCATAACTCAACATGAAGCTGGCTTGAAAATGAAGATTTGCACATTGACGTTTGCCCCTTAAAAATGGAATGCGATGGCTTTGACACTACCAAATGCGTTTTGGCTGGAAAATGGGTGACTGTCAGAGGTTCGGACGGCTGGACAGCCGCGAGTGTTTTCTCTCTGAAGTTTCACACATTTGGCGCAGCAATTGGCTCTGAAGTTGGCTCCACAGGCTTTGTGACTATCGGGGCGAAGCGTGGATGTCGTGTCTAAGAGATGCAAAGACATCTCTTGGGCATGGCCAACGAATGGTTAGTCGCCATTCTGCTCCTACCACTGGGGAGCTGCAACTGCATACTAAAACCTGACACTGAGCATATCTTTGATTGTACATATGACGGTGTGCTTTCAGCCCCAGACATCCAAGTAGCATCTTGGGGAGCTGGTAGCTCCTTCTGGCTCCATTTGCAACTGTCCCAGCTGACAAAGAAAGAACTTGGCAAAAATTCAAGCAGCTCAAGCGCTTGCGAAGAACAGGAAGTTGCAGCGCTTGTGGGCTATAGTTCCAGCTATGTGGCACTGTCTGAGATGGGTGAGGTCGATGATGGAAAATGCGGTATAGTTGACAGGCATGCCACGCTCTACTGCTTAGAGGCTACCACCCCGACATCCGACATTGAAATCAGTATTAACGTAGAGTCAAATGACCACACGCCAGTTCAAGTATTTGCTGAGCTACGGCAGGTCCTCATAGAGCATCACCAAAACATAGAAGTCGGTGGTCATCACGGAGCGCATGCATTTCACATTTTGGAAATTCCTGATGATCCAGCCGTAGATCTTTGGCGATTAAGCATGGTTGCGAGTCAGGAAAATGCGACTAGCTCCAAAGATGATGCTGATCAGAGAGAAACCATTGGAGTCTACTTGATCCATGAGTCCTCACCATGCGTGTCAAACGTGGTAAGAAGAGGCGGCTGTTTTGATCCAGAACACATAGAGACATGCGTTGGGTCTGTGCCCGTTTCATTCCTTCCTGACACGGGGGTGAATCTCAAGGTTGCCATGCACCTGACATTCACGCGCAGTGGTGCAATGACCCTCAGCAAGGGTACCCACCCCCGTCTTCAGCCGGGCAAGTGGATAGTTTTCGTGTCTTGTGGAGACTCGGTGACCCCATGCCCAGACACCACAGTGGAAATCAAATCCTGGGGAGAATCAAACCTTTGGCAAATGCTGGCAATTGGCGTCTTGATCATCGTACTTGGAACCTTTCTTGTGCTGTTTGTTGTGAATACCATTTATTGGTTTGCCTACTACATTCTATACCAGTGCAGCCGTGACACAGAGCGAAGCTCATCCAAAGAGCGTTTATGGCCTGTGATGTTTGGTCAATGCCGCAGGAGCCACTTGAAAGGCCTCGGTGATATGGCCAGGGTGATTGCATGGCCTATCCCTTTTTTTGCTACCTTTCTGAGCCTTATGTTGGGCGTTTTCTTGGCCACCACTGCGCAGTTTGTGCTTGGAAATTACCTCATCATGGTGGAGAGTGGCAACCGAGATGTTTGCTTCTTCAACGAAAGGCGCTTGGCTTGAATCCACCGCAAGAAGCAAAATTGATTTCACCGGGTGCATTGACAAGTCAGCAACACATTGACGAGTAGATTGGACAAGAAGGTAGCGGTAGAAGGGGATTATGGAGAGTGTATAGGAATCCGACAGTGAAGTAAAACACAAGATTCAAGATGAAAGATAGGATTCCATAGGATTGATGTATTCCCTTTGCATGTCAGACCAGCACATTCGTTTAAAATTAAAAAAGCTCTCTTTTTCTCTGTGTCGCCTGGTGCGTATGATCCTGGCTTGTTTCAATGGAGGTTTCTCATCACCAAGCCAACAGCGCCCTTGTAGGAATAGAGGGCGAAGTATTGTAGCCAGCCAGTTTACAGTATTTTACAGTGATTCTTCTGACACATTTCAACCATTTGTTTTGGGTTAGTGATAAAGACGAGACAGTTGAAGGGAATTCTTCCACCTGGCAACGGACTCAACGGAGGTGCTACTATCCGGGACTCAATGATGCCCTGCCATTGAACAACGTGATTTCAAACTTGGCATATTTTGTGGCTGGAGTCCATGTTATGTGTCAGGCCTTCTGTGCAGAGACTCGTTGTCGAATCGTTTCCAGGAGTGGAATGCTGAAGCTTTTCCAGTCCATGGACCCTGAGCAGCTGGGACACGTAAGTCGTGAGAGGTGGAATGCAATCTTTACGGAAGCAGATGAGAACAGAACGGGGCGAGTGTCCAGATCTGAGTGGAGGGGCATCTTTGGTACAATTTATGCTTTTGATTTTATCGATAAGGATGGGAATGGTTCATTGGAACGCTCTGAGTGGAGCGAAGCTTTTGAAGGCTTTGACAGAGAAGCACATGATTCAATCACAGCAGCTGACATGCTGAAAGATGTCGATTCCCGATGCATTGACCTTCGGGCTTTTTATGCACTTGGCGTGGCCTTTTGGGGCCTGGGAATCGGAAGCATGTCCTATCACGTTTGTCCTTCACTGCTCACCTTTCAATTTGACACCTGCTTCATGATTCCGCTGGCCAATTTGTTCACCCTCGCATTATTGGACTGGCGTGCTTCATCCAGCTCTGATACCATCACATCAGTGAAGTATGTCTTATATGTTTTGACGCCGCTTTGGCTAATCAATTTCATCGGAACCTGGTACGACATCAAGGCATTTGAGATCGATTGGCTGTACTGGATTTTTGCAGTTTTGGCAATTTTCTGGTCCATAGTCGCAGTACTCGCTGGTATCAGGCGTATCTTTCAAGCACCCGGCCGTTGTGGTCATTGGGTCAAACGCAGCCTGCAAGTCATTCTCATTGTTCTTGCGGTGATTGCTTTTCTGGTACCTCAGGTGCGTCGGAAGTTCTTCAGTGGCACGGCCAACTTTTTCTTGCAGCTCTCTGTGATTGTGATGGTAGTGATTGTCTGCCGCCAGATGTATCTTGAGGACTTTCGCTTCATGACCTGTCACGTGCGTGAGATCGGGGCTCGGATCATCAAGAACCTCTACGCTGCTGTGCTGCTTGGCTTTGGAGCTGTTGCTATGGTTGCCTTCTCGGAGAAAGTGGTGATTGTAGAGCCAGGGATCACTCCAGCTCAGAGCCATGATGCAAATCAAGACTGCATTTTTTCAATTTTTGATCTGCACGATGTGTGGCACTTTTTGTCTGCGATTGCGCTGGCACTCTTTGCAATGCTTTTACTGGATGTGCGTGTGAACTCTTGGGCTCGGAAGATGGGTATCAGAGTCTTGTTCGAGCATTTGCCTGGCAGTGAAGATTCAGAACGTTCTGACGAGAGTGAAGACGATGAGGAAGACCAGGAAGACCAGGAAGACCAGGAAGACCAGGAAGACCAGGAAGACCAGGAAGACCATGAACTAGATAATGTCATCAGGAGTGAAGATGAACCAGCTTGAGCTGAGTGCATCTACCCACAGTGAATTGAACCTTCTAGCAGATTCTAGCACGTCAGCAGTTCAAAGTTGCTTGAAGACAGAAGTGCGCTGGCAGAACTCGCATCACTTATGATGAACATAGCCTCGCTTTTGATGCACAAGATCAGATGCGGCTGCCACAGAAGTGCTTTGATGAAACAGAGCTGCAAATTGTGCGCTGGTGCTGGTTTGCGTTGGCGAGATGGTCGGGTCTGTTGGAATCAAGTCGCATGCTTCATGGCACATCATGGCGCATCATGGCGCATCATGGCACATCATGGCACATCATGGCACATCATGGCACATCATGGCACTGTACCCAAGCAATTCGAAGCATGCCTAGTCACTGCCTAGTCAGTGCCCTTGCCTGAACTGTGTTGACAGGGCCCGCCCGTCGCCTGCGAATTACAACTGGCTGGTCGCAGCAGATCAAGCAGGCTGTGGCTGGACGTTGCTACTGGACGTCACTCATAGTTCGCGTAATGCGTTGCCTGGATCAGATCGGGTGACAGACGACGTATGCCATGATGCACGTCATGTTTTCAGTGCCTCAGGTGGTCTCCAAGTGGCCACACGGCGACACTGGCGTCTCTTTCTGGTGTTTTTTTTTTTTTTGGTTGAGAGCAGTGTATACCACCAGTCCTGGGGGTTAGAGATGCCTAAAACCAGGGCTTGAATAGGCTTGACTTTTTCACAGAACGTTGGAAACCTCTTTGAAGAGCTTCGAAAGCTGCAGCTGGTTTTGCCAGGCCAATTCTTCCGGCCGGAGGTGCTCACTTGTTCGGGGAGGCGAGTCCTTGCAGCGACCGCCTTCGCAATGTGCGGGGCCTTAGACAATTTGTCGCGGCTTTCCCATGTTTCAATCTAAAGGACGCGCAACAGGTGGCAGTTCCTTAGCCTGATTGGTTTCTCCAAAAGTACCAGATATGTTTTGTAAACCTAAGACTGGCTGCGGTTTTTCATACTCAAGCATACCTACCCCAAAGCACACCCATTTGGCCATTTGGTCACCTTGATGCCACCACTCATGCTCGTGGCCCCTGCCTGAGGTATCAGTCTTCCGATGGATTTGGGACAGCGCCTCTTCTGTGGCAGGTGTCATTGATTCATTGTTGCACACGTGCTAGTACTAATAATAAGAATGGAAAATCATCCAACATTTCCATTATATTTTTTGTTTTTGGCTGGATAGCTGACAGGCCTTGCCCAGAAAAGACTTTCCAGCTGCTGTACCCCTTTGCCAAGATGATGGCACCTTGACTCCTTGACTTAAGCCAAAGTTCTAAGCTTCTCCGGTTTCAGGACAGGCCTCTGGAACGTACGCAAAATTCGGGACCATTCTTCACCCGAAGATAATGCCATAGACTTCCCCAAAAGTCAGGTTCTGGGTAGGGAATTGGAGACTTCTCAAAAGGAAGGACGCACCTAAGTTTGCCATTTACATCAATTTACCTCAATTTACAAGAATGCCCTCTGTAATCCCACTTGTCGGATGTTTTTGGATGCCCTGTGTGGCTGCATTCATTTTTGATGGCCTAAGCCAGCCTTCGCCTGAGTTCCCGTGGAGCAATGCTTCTTCGCACGGCCGCATGGAGATGGACAGCTTGCTGTGTGGCCAGCAGAAACTTGATGGCAGAGATCGGGAAGTGTCAAGGGGAAGCTGAACTGATTTCAATTGGGACTGCACCGTCGGGTGTTGAAATGGTTTGACTTGTAGTGACTTGGGATTGGTTGACGTTCTTGCTTCTCCAAGACTCAGCTAAATACAATTAATTACTTTGCTTCGAGTTATCCCCACCATGACATCTATACGTTTTGTTACTGGCAAATCTTCTGGCATTCTATCTGACATATCTTCTGGCATTCTATCTGGCATATCTTCTGGCATTCTACCTGGCAAATATGCTCTGGCATATCTTCTGGCACTCTATCTGGCATATCTTCTGGCTATCTTCTGACATTCTATCTGGCATTCTGGCACTTTATCTGGCATACCTTCTGGCATTCTATCTGACATTCTATCTGGCATACCTTCTGGCATGCCTTCTGGCATTCTATCTGACGTTCTATCTGGCATACCTTCTGGCACTCTATCTGGCATATCTTCTGGCATATCTTCTGACATTCTATCTGGCATACATTTTGGCATTCTATCTGGCATATCTTCTGGCATTCTTTCTGACATTCTATTTGGTGTTCTATCTGGCATATCTTCTGGCATTCTATCTGGCCGTTGAGGTCCAGCGGTGCTCACTGAGCTCGGAGGGTCCCAGGTTGAGGTCCAGCGGTGCTCACTGAGCTCGGAGGGTCCCAGGTTCAGGTCCAGCGGTGCTCACTGAGCTCGGACGGTCCCAGGTTGAGGTCCAGCGGTGCTCACTGAGCTCGGATGGTCCCAGGTTGAGGTCCAGCGGTGCCCAGTGCGCTCAGACCCTTGCAGTTGAGGTCCAGCAGTGCCCACTGCGTGCGGAAGTTGGCGAAGAGCTTGGCGAAGAGTTGGCAAGGCGGAATTGAACATGGGAGTGGATGCAAAGGTGGTGGAGGAGAAGCTGGAGGAGAGGGAGGAGGAGGAGAAGAAGGAGGTGGAGGATGAGGAGGAGGAGGCGGAGGAGGAGAACAACTGCGAGAAAATCTAACAACCCCCACCTGGCAGGTGGGGAATTATAATTTTAAGCGATAACATACACCCAGGAACTTCCTTCAGTTGAAAACCCAGGCCAATCATAGTGCAGAAGATATCCTGGAGTTGCCTTCAAGGCTGGAACTCTTGTGACATTCGCTGGTGCGCAATATGTAGAGTTCATAGATCTGGTCCGATATTCTCAACCGTGTCTGATTCACACCTATATTCACGGAAACTGTGCCCTGTGCAACCAAGCACATCAAGCGCGGAAAAGGAAACTGCATGAAACTGCACCATGGTATACGTATATGGACCAGTGCCCTGGTTTTGGAGGGATACTACATGAGCGCACACTGGCCACTGGCCACTGGATGTCTTCCTGCTGCTATCTCTGTTACAAAACGTGACCAGCAAACCTCCGATAGCAACGACCTGCATGGAACCTGAGGCGTCCATGGCAGCACTTCACAGGAGTGCAATTGCCTTGCGGTGAACATGAGCCACATCGGAGATGTTTACTGTGACTTGATCCTGGATTTCAGGATCACATGTCCTTGCTGTGTATCGCTGCCTTGCGCGAATGCAGAATTTTAACCGGTCTTGGCTCGTGTCAAGGTGATCGCAACTGCTTTTGCCATCCCTTTGCCCTTCTGTTGTGTCATGGCCTGTCCTTTTGTCTTTCTGAGGCTGGCGGGATGGGATGGCGAGCGCTTGCCAGTCCTGTGGATCCATGGGCAAGAGCTGACGCCCAGCTGCTTGGACCCGATATTGTCTTCTAGTGTCTGACAGTCTTCTGGTAGCCCGACGGTCTGCTCAGTTGCTCAGTGTAGTATTTCATTTTTTTTTGCAAGGCTCAAGGTCTGCCCTGACAAAAGGGTACCTCTTTATAGCCGTTTATGGTATTTTAAGTATTTTACCGACCTGCAGTATTACCAAGATTTGGACATGTCGTTGACTCGCCAATGCATGTCATATTTTCTAATTTCATACATGTTAGATCATGATAGTAGGTATTTATTACGCACGTTTGAACAATTTTGTGACCAACAAGGGTAGTGAATCAGGGAGCACACCGAAAGCATGAATCATCTTTGCTACACGATCAAATTCGACAGCCGTGATGAGGGTGCCCCGTATGAAGCTCCTGCCCCTACCATGGCTTCTATTCCTTTCTCACGTGCCTGTAACACAATCTGAGACAGATGGTGGTGCGGACAGGTGCTACGAGATAGTCACGACCGATCCCGGATCCGATGGTTTGGTTGATTTGAACCACTATGCGGAGTTTGTTTCGAATTGGTTGGCTGCCGGCGCAGAACCAGGTGCGGAGGGATATGGTTTGGAAAAGCTGGCAGACTACATGCAAGCAGAAGTCTTGTTCCCGAATACAACCTCTTTGTCCTGCGCAGCGCACATTTTATCCATCATTTTAACAGCCTGCCTCTTTGGAAATGTACCAGACTGCAGCATACCATGGGAATTGTTTCTGTCGCCTTGGGAATATTTGGCAAGAAGCCGATGGCCTGTATTCAATTTGACAGCGCTTTGGGCAAAGAAACGGGCACAGGAACCGAAAGTCTTCAACACAGAGCTATCAGAGTTAGGCTGCAATGATGGTGCTCGATGGATCCTGGAAGAGATGCCACCCGTCAGCTTGCTTGACGTGAAACCTGACATGATTCAGCCAACTGCGCGTTTAATCGCCAGCTTTCTGACAAAAGACCCTATGCTCACTGAGATGCCTTTTCTTGAAGACCTGTGTGGACGGGTCACTTGGGGTCTTGTCCTCACAGCGATGTCACTGGCACACGATGATCCTTTAGTCTCTCCTGGTTACACTTTGCGGTGGTACCAGGGGATTTTGTCGATGGTGTTTCGCGAGTATGGGGGTAACTATATGGAAATCTTGGTGGAGGCACCTTGGAGACTTTTGGAGCATCTACCATTACTAGTATCACGAGATCTTGAGATCGAGCCGGAGATCCATTTCTGGAAGGCGTCTTACAATTTTTCCAGCATTCACGCATCCGTGGGGGCTGATGAATTGCTAAGCTCGGATGTGTTGGCGCCCTTCACCCCTATGGCAACTGCAGAAGCCGAAGCCTTGGAAGCAACACTGGCAGTGACCCACGAGTTTTTGATGACGCTGGGTGCTGCATATATGCTGATCGCTGGTAGCTTGCTGGGTGCGATTCGTCACTTGGGTCGCATCCCTTGGGATGACGATGTTGACCTTTGCGTGGATTCAGCTCACGAAATGCAGCTCGTGATGTTGGCAATCTACTTGGAAGCGGAACGGCTTCAACTTCCACTTCCCGCAGGTTTTGCGCTGCCAAGCAGAAGAGCTCTGGCATTTCTCCATGCAAAGAAACATAGCCTGCAAGTGGTATCCAGCCGAGCCCTGGTCTTTCGCGTCAAAGCCGAGACTGGAGCACAGGTGGATATTTGGCTTTGCTTTCACCTATCTACTGGGAAGCACTTGTCGGATGAGGTGGTTCTGATGTCTCACAAGTACGGACCCAGAATCCCGCGAGAGTTCATTGAGCCACTGAAGAAGCTGCCGTTTGACTCCCTCGCGCTTTGGGTCCCGTCTAACCCAGAAGCAGTCACACGTCTCTACTTTGAGCAATACAACAACTCTGTTGACTTCATGAACACCTGTGTGGGTCGGAAGGTCCATTCTGCCAAACTGCAGTTCAATTCAGAGGTACCTTGTGTGAACGTGGCCGACCTTGCCACCCCGTGGCAGCAAACTTTTTCAATGGAACCCGATGTGTTTGACGCCCTGGAAACTGTTCTTCAGCGAATGCCGGGTATTTCTCATCAGCCAAAGATCACGGAGCTTTGGCATTCCATTGTCGGCGGCGAGCCTCGGTATTTTGTAGCGTGGGAGGGAGTCAATGCAGCACTGGGAAAGATAAATTGCACCGCTTTGCTTTGGAGAAAGGATCCAGAAAAAGATTTGCAGCTCCCAGGGATGATGACAGAGCTACCTTTGCGCTCGCTGCTTTGTGGTCCTGGTGGGCTGCAGCCTCACTTTGTGTGGGAGGATGCATGGTGAAAATGAGCGGCTTCGCATGGTTGTAGGGCAAACTGTATTTTTACCGCGTCTTAAGCCTTAAACTTTAAAACGATTGATAGTTACTGATTCTGGCTGATTCTTGTTGATTCTTATCAATTCTGATTCAAAGTTGCAGTTTGTGCTTGAGTCTCAGCGCCTTGCTTGTTTGGCTCCTTTTCGTTTTTTGCAGGCTTTGATCTTCCGCTGCCATCGGTCGAAACTTCCAATGCAGTGCGCGCCATGCATCTGGCCTGCAAAGTGTCCACCTTCTGGCTGCAAGTGATAGGAAGAGTCAGACTATTTCATGTAGGAAAGTGCTTGGGTTTTCTAGAGTTGCCTTTGATACTTGACCATGGAAGTGTGCTTACTGGAGGCATTTGAATTCTGCCGGTCAACTGTGGCTTTTGCTGGGCAAAGAGCTGATGGCATGGGATGTATTGCGAGGCATTTGGGCATTTCTTGGCTGAGCTCCGGACAAGAACTGTCAGAATGCAATGGGTAGAATTTCAGCACGAAAAACCGAGATCGAAAACTCGCAGTCCAGATGTGATGGCATTTGGATGCTACTTGTACTTGGACTGTTCACTAGCAAGAAGATTGAGATTCCAATCTCTTGAAGATCCCTTAAGTTTGCAACACCGGTTTCGGACAGTTCTGAAAGAATTATATAGGCCAACTAGGCCCTAGGCCCTAGGCTCACAGCTCAAAGCAGTTCCGTGGTGTATGAGGCGAATACATTGGCCGGTGGCAGCCTGATTGGCAAGACTTCACGCTGCTTGGCAGCAAGATGGCCACTCTTTCCGGCTCTTAGATGGTGTTTGGGATCTGAGTCTAGCTACTCTCAAGTCTGAGACTGTGGCTTTCGTAGCAGGTGCCCAGCAGATAGCCAAACATCGCCCAGTTGTGCCAAATGTGTTCAGGCCTCGCCTCCTTTGCGCTGGGCGACGCTTACTGGTTGCCGGCACCAGAAGCGAAAGCAATGGCTTTGAGTTGCCGAGCCTGCTGGCTTTGAAGCCCTTTGTAGAGCTGCATGCGTGAACCACGACTGTCCAAAGTTGCGCTCGTAGGGTCAAACTCGGACATGTTCGGCACATGAATTGCAGCTCAGAAAAAAATGCTAGAACATGATCGTATGTAGCATTATGCCCACAAGCAGGTATAGTTTACGTGTGCCTTTTGCTAATGCTCATGTCATGTGGTTTGCATGCCGAAAAACTCAATACCATGTTTATACGAAGTGAGTTGGTTGCTTCAATGGTAGCTTACACAGCAACTGATCAGTAGGGCAGCTTACACCGCTAAAGATCGTGCCAACAGAATGTGCTGCTTAAAGTTGTCGCTTTGCAGCGAAAGTGCAGTGAAGCGCGACCACGGATTGCAGTAGGTCAAAAGGAGCCCGCGCGAATGTTCAGCTATCTGAATTTAAAACAGAAGAAAGCCTTCTGGTGATTCTTGGCACGATGCAATAGCAATGTAGTTACTGCAAACATAGTCAAACCCAAGGCTGTGTGGTGTGGGTTGTGGCTTTTGCGTTTCGCGTGACGCAGCAGAGTCACTCTGAAAGTGGAACTCGAGCGAACGATGCCAAATTCTTGGGATATCTTGGGATGTTTGCATTCAGGCACTTATCTCCATCAAAACTGATTTGTGGTGCCCAACTTGATCATACTTTATCTACATGTCACAATTCTCATTTCGTGCCTCTTTGCTCTCGCCATTTCAGTTCGCGCACGGGTTGGTAGTTCAGCTAGGACCCGGGACAGTCCTGCAACCAGCCGCCCAACCACGAAGCAGCCTGCACGCACCCCACACACTCCCACACGCACGCTCTTGCAGCACATGATGCATCATTTTCAGTACTATTTTACGAATTTTGAGCATTTTTGAGATTTGTAAGGCTTTGTGTTTTAAGATTTTTAAGTTTTGGATCTATCAACTCCAACCCAGACTTGCAACCCGCACCTAGACACATGTGTAGGAACCTGTTCGGAGCCGACCTGTGGATCCTACCAGCTTCAGACACCACTAGCATTTGACCTTACCACTTCCGGCACTTTTGATCCCACAGCCAGCTGAAAACTACAGCTACAGCTGAGATGCACAGCCAGCCACACACAGCAGAACTGCATAGTTAAGCAGGGCTTGGAACAACTGCTGCTTGGTCATTGCCTCACCTCGAACAGCTCAAATTTTTGTCCGCCCGCGGAGATTGCGCCTTGCCTGCAGTGGAGCAACAACTCTTCTTAGAGCGAGGTCAGCTGAGACATCCTGAGACATCCTGAGACATTTGGATTCGCAGCGCATCTGAGGTTTCTGTTTAATTGATGTTGGTGGTTGAGTCATGTTGAGTCGAGTTGATGATCCATGCAATGTTGGAGTGCTGATTCTCCAGACCGATTGTTTTGTGAGGTTGGCGCAATGGCAGATCCTTCTGGACCCAATCCTAATGCTCCACCCTTCATTCCAGGGGCCTGGGCCCAAAGAGAGAGCAAAATGAGAGCTGCAACATTGTGCTAAGTTTTGGTCAAAAACAGGTGAGGTTGGAGCAAGGGCTTTTCTCCCGTGAATGCAACCTGACTGACTACCAAATTATATATATACATATACATATTATAAAGCAATTGCAACGCCCTGAGCTAGGGCAAATGTTCCTGGCCAAGTTTCAGCATGAACACTGATCTACAGTGCATATATGTTACACACACACACGCACACACACGCACATGTATGCGTGCATATATATATATATACAGACTTATATAACATAATGTAATATAATGTAATATAATACAATATACTATAATATACTATAATATACTATAATATACTATAATATACTATAATATACTATAATATACTGTAATAATATTAATATATATGCATATAAATACATAAATATAAATATAATAATCCCAATAAAAATATATATATATATATTTATATTTATATTTATATATTTATATGCGTATTTAAATGCGCAATAGACTCAATAGACGATTCAGCCCCGGAAGTGCACATTGAATTTCCGGCAATGGGCAAATCTAGCTTGTACTCAGTGCAGCACCTGGTCTCTAAACGGATCCAAGACAGTTGTGTGAACTTCTTCTTTCCCTGGTGCCTTGTTAGTGGGATATCTTTTATCGAACGGTTTCAACTTGATTCCAATGGTTTTCCTTCACCCCTGCGCCTCTAATGCCCCTAGTGCCCCCAGCGCCCAGCCACCTGAGGGTCAAGCCTTTGGATTGGGTCTTGCGGACATGGGCACTCATCTCTCCCCTGAGGCAGGGTGCCTTGATGTGCCTTGATGTGCCATGTCTTCTTGTTAGCCGTTGCTAGCCTTGCTTGGACTTGTTTGGTACATCCAACTTACATCGGATATGCCCCTGCCACGAGGAGCACATGATGGCCATGTCGCAACGTGCACCACCAGGCCATGCAGACCACTGACCACTGGGTCGGGTCGTGCACGGTTTTTTTTGTTGGGTATCCTCGATCATTAACCCTCCACATCCATGCCCAGCGTACCGGTATGCAATCACACGAATGATATCACACATCAGTGCAGGCTTCTAGAACACATTTCACATTTTTGGTTGGGGAAAATTACCCGTTCCATGATCAATGCCTGAAGTGTTTGGTTTCGCGTGCTGAGACACACGCACACACACACAAACACACGCCCTGGTGCGACTGGCTCTAAAGGACTCGGCAACAGAAATGTCCCGCAGTCCAAAGTGTGGAAGCTTATGGATTTCAATGATTGTCGAATCATTCCACCATTAGTGACAGAATTGGAGATACTCCAAATGGTTCGGAAAATTTCAGATGTGCCAATTCTTAACCGTGTGCACTCAATCCTTGCCACATGGCGCGTGCTGGATGCCTTGACCTTTGAAGACTCGAGGATAGGTTGCGATAGGCTGCGTCTGTGGTTGCTGAGATGTTGTCACTGGTCATTTTGGGGCTGGTTGTTTTTGTTCGTGCCAAGGTGGTCTGTCACCTGATTTCCGAACTAGGGATTGATGCGTTGTTTTGCCAGATTATGCCCGAAACAGAGTCAGAACATAGAGCCAAGTATTCCAAAACATTCGAAACAAAAGGAGGCGCAGAGCTCACAAGAGACTAAACATCTTTAAAGACCCGTACTGGATCCCTTCTATCCTTATGCCTCTCTAGGGGACTAAGTGCACGCCTTCCTTGAAGGACACCATGGGTTCCGCAGAGTCAGTGGCAGCTGCCATGTCTAGTTGTGTGCAGCTGCCCTCAATGGCCCACGAGGAGAACTTTTTAACATTCAGTGGCAAAGGGGGGGGGAATGGGGCAAACAAAGCTTGGAAATGCTGTGCACATGCCGAAAATCTTGCTGCTTTCTCATTTTGTATGTAGACATCGGAAGCACTTCACTTCCAAACCGATGGTTTCAACCTACTTGTTTTGAAGACTTGGAGGCCCGGAAGGTAGGAGTCACTTGGAGCAATTTCTCTTGCTTGGTCTTTGTGTGTCTCCTTTGTCTGTATTCATTATTCAAGGCATTGCATTCTGGTGAGCCATGGGTTGCTAGGAAGTTCGCCCACCCTGGGCTCTTGCACAAGCAGATTCCTGGAGAGAAATGGAGGAAGGCATCCAATAATGGCATGGGATATGCACGTCCGAAGAGCAACATCATGGTCTTATACAGTATGTTGTTTTGGTGGATTTGAACCTATACAGATAACATTTCTGATTCCTGCTTGGAATTCGTCTCACGACTTCTATGGTAATATGGTTTTGGCAAGGCTGAAACCGCAAACTGCTTTGGATCGCCAATTGTAGATTGTTTTGATGCTCCTGCAGCAACATTTGTTTCTTGTAAACTGCGTTGGTCAGAATGGACTAATGCTTCACACTGTCCGTAATTCCGTGCTGCTCTCTTCACATTCTGGATTGGTGTTTTCTGAATAGATCTTAGACCTGGAATCTAGCCAGCAGATACTGGAGCCTGTGCCAAGGACAAGTTCGAGTACGAGGATTGCCCTTTCTGCCGGATGCGACGGTCACACTGCACCTGGCTGAAAACAGAGATCAAGCGACTCAAGTCTGAGGCACAACAGCACAACGATCCCCGGCCGTGGGCCATGGATGAACATTTCACATCATTTCACCAAATAAGATTTGCACTGCCTCCTGTAAGCGCAGGCAGCTGCAGTGCAGACCACCATTCCACCCATCATTCTGCCAGAATTGATGGAGCAACTCGAGGCAGCGTGGTAGCCTTGGCACTGTATGGCACTGTGAGATGTGAGATCTGTGATGATTCGATGATCTGTGAAGATCATGGTGAGGCTGGTCGCTTGCCGCCTTCGGGCTACACCGGGGGCGTTGATGACATCGTTGCAAGCAGCTGTCCACGATGCGAAGAGTGGCGCCAGGAGGTGGGGAGAAAGGGGAGGAGTAAGGAGGAGTAAGGAGGAGTAAAGAAATCGAAGGGAATAGTAACTTAGTAACTTAGCTCACTTAGCTCTATATCGAAGGGAATAGTATTGAACATTATTGAACATTTGTTTCTTTGCTTGGAACTTGTGGAGAGCAAGTAATGTGTTGACGATATAGTTGCCAAAATGGCTATGCCATTTTGGCTCAAGCTGTTCCCCCTGCGATCCAATACTTTCGAAAAACACGTTCCGATCCTTTTCTTTGGCCATGGCGGCTTCTAGTCCAGTGGCTAGTGAGACTGGCACCGTGGGCTCTTTCTCGCTGATTGGGACAGATTTGGACGCAGGGGACGATTACATGGTGCTTTCCACCCAGGTGACCGAGGCTGCGCCGGCCGAGGTTATTACAGAGATTGAAGATGATCCCGCCATCACCAGGGAGACTCTGGCTTCGCAGCTCCATGAGATGGAGAAAGTGATGGCAAACTTGGGCTTGGAACCCAAGCCGGAGACAAGTGTGGAAGCGTCAAGTGGGCAACCTCCGTCGGGTTTCGTCCATGCAGAGGCACAGATTCCGACCCAGACATCACGGGTCTTAGAGAAGGAGACGTTGACACTCCACATGGATCCGACCACAGAGACCTTCACCATCGAAGGCTGGGCACCTTTGATTCCAGCCCTGCCTCACTCGGCTGCCAAGTACTTCAGAGACATTACGCATGGTGAGTTGCGTTCCCTTTTGGATGCTTTCCGCAGTTCTCCGTGGACGGCATCCTTGGTGGTCAAGATCGCAGAGGTGTACCACATTTCGAAGCGCGAGGCTGTCCACACACAGATGTTGAAACTCCGGCACACCACGCAGCGTGGGGGATCCATGATGAATTTGAAAGAGAAGGACCCTGGAACTTCTCCGCAATTAGTTTGTTCTGATTGCAATGCACCGTGGGGACAGTTATCCAAATGTTTGCTTTGTCAAGGCTCTCAGCCTGTTGACCTGTCAATGACACCTTTGTCAGTGATTGAGGTGGCCGGCCAGTCCTGGCAACTTAGGCTCACTGAGGCGGGACCGACTTGGGTTCCCACAGATACTAAGGTTACTAAGGCCTCAGGCTTTGTGGAAGTGGGAGATCTTGGCCGACCTCCCCCTGCGGCAGCTTCGGGCGCCGGTACGGGGCTGGTCAGCTTTTCGGAGCAAGTTCCTGCCTCCCAGCGCATGACACTGCAGCAGCACGTGGTGGCCTTCGGGCAGGACGAGATCTTTCATCCAGATGGCGAACGCCCCCCCACTATGGATGATCGAGACTCTACTCAAACTGCTGTGATCTTTCATCCGAAGACCATTGAACTGATGCGCTTCAAGGTGGACTTGCTGGCAACACCAGAAGAAGAGCTTACGGAAGCGGCACAGGAGGCCAAGAGGAGGAAGAAGGAGATTCAACACCAGCAAGAGACTGTGGCGATGGAAGATGAGCTGCATACACTGACTGCCATCCAGCAGGGTGCACAGGAAACCCAGAATCCGGTCAGTGCCAAGATGCTCCGCCACGCTGACCTCCAGCAGTTTCGGTCCTACCTCAAAAGAAAACATGAAGAAAGTGGTCTCACCTCCTCTTACGAGGCTTTGGTGGCGGCACAGACCACACAGGAGAAAGCGGCGGCCGCCAACAAGGCCCTGGACACAGAGTTCAGAGACCGACGCAAGGCCCTCAAGCCCATTGAAGTGGCGTCCTTTTCACTGTGGACCCCGGCCCTGCAAGAGGCATGGCAGAACAACCTCTTCGCGCCGGCCATGGGACCTCAGGGCCCTGAACAATTTGACATGGAGGCACTGAAGCAGCCCTACCTCCGAATGAAAGAGCTCATCAAGGATAACAAGCCTCCGCTGTCCCAAGACCGCCTCATGACGGAGTTCCCCAAAACGCAACTCGACATGTACACCACGGGGACGGAGATGATATCTTCCCAAGAGGCCCAGTTAGCACGACTCCTCCCGCCGGACAGCCTGGAACGCAAGTACGCAATCCTTGACTCCATCTTGCAGTACCACAAAGGTGAAGTCAGAGCCTGGGGCGGAGAGTGGGAACTGCGACAGGGCCCGCTCATGGCACCTGCCTGGGCGAAACCGGCACCTACGGCTGAGGTCTTGGCTTTGGAACTCAGGACAAACCCGCTGGGCACCTCCTTCTACACGCCCAAAACCTACACAGAACAGGTGGTCCTGCAACAGATTGCCGAGGGCAAGCGACCAGACCTGGACAAGATCATTGGCTTCTTCTGGGCCCCGGGGACGGCGGTAGCTTCTGGCACCGACGATACCCACCTGGTTCGGAGGGTGCAATCATGGGACCTTCCCTCCATGATCACGATGCTTGGACAGTCCTGGACGTTCAAGGAGATCTACCAGGCTTGGTGTGGCATGCCGCTGATCGTCAAACCGATGCGCAGAGGGCATGGGGAAGGCATCCGCCAGAAGAAGGTGGCAGAGTTGGCGGCACACCGGCAGAGGACTTCAGAGATCAAGTCCTTCCTCACCAGTGTGGGCCTCCGGTTTCCCCAATCACAACATGAAATCAAGCTGCTCTACAAGGAAATTGGCAGCTTTTTGGCTGCCTCGGTTTTCTTAGCCAGAACCCCAGCGGTGGTCTTGGACTTGCCCGAGCAGGACATCCAGGACACAAAGGAGCAGCTCCGTTTTCGAGCGGTTTGTGATGAGCGCATCACCTTGCCCTTGGATGCTTTCAGGCAGCTCCCGGACGTTTTCCAGGCGCTGTCAGCCACTCTGGGGGCCCACAGCATGGTGCAAGTGCAAGTTGCCTGGCGGTGCAACTGTGAGCTATGGTGGGTTGCCCTGGTTCCCCATGAGAAGGCGGAGAGCTTTTATTGCCGTCTGGGCTACTCCCAGGCAGAGATTGATGGCTTCCTGAAGACTGCGCTGGAACCGGAGGCTCTGCAGGCGACTACGGTAGCTTCGGGCACCGGTAAGTACCCAGAGCTCTCCTTGGAGAACGTGGTGTCCATATGCAGCCCCAAGTACAAGCGGGAGCACTACGGCCACCGGGGAGTCCATGCTTTTTGGGGCCGCACTGATTGCGGGCTCATCCTCAGCAGCATCAGTCCATGGGAACTGAAGACGAAGGAGGCTGGAGTGACTCGTGGAGGATGGGTCTGCAAGGCCTGCCAGGGCTTTTGGAGACAAGGGAAAGGAGCTTCCCGCTTTGTCCAATTGCTTGGAGAGCACCGGGGAGTCAAAGTCAACCTCCAACTGATCTTGGACGAGCCACCCCAACAGCTGTACAACAGCTGGGTGAAGTCCAGGCTTGAGTATTACAAGAGAGTGGAGCCGACTGCGGCCCCGCGAGATGTGGCATTGCAAGTGGACCCTGACCACACCCAACGCTTGAAGTTTTCTTGCCAGAATGGCAATGCCAATGTTTCCAACGCCATTTGGTCGGTCCTTCTGAGCAACCCTGACCTCGAGGGCCTTCAGAAGATCAACGCGCTGGCAGCGAGCAGAGTCCGGCCTGCCTGAGAGCGGAGTTTTTGCGAAGGGCTGTTTTACTGACCTGGTGGCCTGGTAGCGTCTTGCACCAACGTCACCACTCGGTTCTGCAGACACCTTCCTTTTTGTATGAATAGCATTGGTTGCGCACCACGACAAGGGCCAAGACAGGGGCCAGACCGCTGGGATGCCAGCTCACACAGTGAAAAGGGAAACCTGCATGTGGCTGCCTCAGAATCATTTACAGCATGTGGCTATTTGAACATTGCTGCGTTTTACCATGTTTTACCTTGGTTTGATGTTATTGGTATCCTTTCGGGCTTCGCCCATTACGCTGATGTGACAGATGTCCATGTGACTTGCACTCAGTCTGTCCGGTTGCAACTCTGATGGTTTTTCCTGGGCTTTCGGTGTTGTTCTTCCTGCTTGCCTTTTTCACGTGTTAGTGCTCCGCACACCCGCAGTACCCTTTTTGGGCCAGGCTTGGCCATAGTAGAGTCGGGACATCATGGAACCCGATCTTGTGCGTAGAACACCTTTTGGCCTGGCAATGGTTCGGCTCCCTGAACACATGCGAGACAGCCTGCTGGACCATGGCATTTTCCCCACACAAACGGAGGGGGAGTTGTTCATGCAGCTCTGCATGCAACAAGTGCCACCGGACCATCCGGAGGCCATGGATGGGGGAACCTGGACCTCTCGGGTACACCCCAGCAATGACATCGACCCAATGAACGTGGCTCACAGTAACTCCATGATGGTGGCTACCACGCCCTGGATGGAAGACTTTGTGGCAGACTGCATGAACCGGGTGCCACAACCAGCGCCCCCAGAAGAGAGAGATAGGACCTATGATGCATGTTTTAGCCTCTTCACTTTGATTGCGGGCGCACCAGATTCAGCCTTCCACACACCCCTTCAACAGCAACAGGAAAGCATGGACCGGGCTAGATGGCGAGCCTTTCATGCACGGCCTCCCATAATGGCCATTGTGGAGGCCAAATGGAGGCACTGGAAGCCTGGGCGACTCAAGGAAGAGTCGGCTACAACCCAAAGGAAGTTAGAACTCCACCTCAGAGACCGCTGGGCAGAAAGGATCATTGGGCTCCTTCTGCCATTTGCCAAAGACATCCCTTACCTGCATGCGGTCCACGGGGACAATGTTCACCAGGAGTACTTGGACCTCCTTGGAGACACCAGGTTCAGGACCTTGCGTATTCATTGCCTTTGCTTCGAGAGCATCCAGAAATTGGGCTTCAACACAATTCCTTGGAAAGAAAGTGATATTAGATCTCTTCTGAACACCCTGAGGGACCAGGAGATCACACCACACAAACTCCAAGGGATATGGAATACCCTAAGATGGTTCTCGGCCAGGTTTGGCCTCCTTGACCCTGACAGTCTCGAACGTCTCAAGGCAAAAAGGAAGACCATCCAAGAAGGCCTGGTGGAGACCAACATCAAGCCTCAGCGCAAAGCCCAGCTGCCTTCCAAGGAAGTA